CATGATGGTAGTAGAGCACTGTATAATTAGCTGCTGGTATTGTATATTAATGATGTACAGTAGTTAATGCATGATGCCAGGTGATTCTCTTGTACTGCATGACTCGGGCTTCTTCATCACCCTCTTGTAGACGATGTATTGAATAAATTGTTAGCATACATCACTTGTATTTCATTATTGTCCAGTGTGGAGTTAGCTGGATGCACTAATCACCTGTTTGTTCATCCTGTCTCTTGAGAATATGAAAGTACTGTACTCGACCACCCTCACTAACTCAACTGTAACGGTGGGCACCCATTCTCATATAAACACATCTTGATGATCTGTTGGATTTCTTTCTTTCTTTCCTTTCACTACTTAACATGAAAATAGAAAACTGACATCATAGTGTGTCAAAAGTCTTATTCCTGTCTGTGCATGTTGCTTAGGACATTGTGTTTTAAACCAGTAGGTAACCAGTGAGAAATTATTGATCCTGTGTTAATCTTCTTGTTTTATGTTTGTATAATAGATCAGTGTTGGTACTAGGAAGAAAGTCTTTATTGCATGAGGTTAAACTGAACCAAGAGAGAAACAGAGAGAGGTGCAACAAGTGTCATAAAATAAGTTATAAAGTCATTACTGGACTGTGGGTTAAGTGGTACATTGAATATTTTTAACCCCTTGTATATGGTGTTGCCTCCAAGCTGAATCAAATTTTCTATCATTAGTCAAATCAGATATTAAAAGTGGCGTCTCAATAGTGAAAGGGTTAGGGGAGATAGTCTACTAATCCCAAGGTATCAACTATGGTCAGCCATCTCTCATGAATTATTAGTTGAACATGAGTGAAACATTGAGACACTGGGACCTGATATTTCTTATAAATTACTCAAAACACCTTTGATATTGATATGTTGCATTTATTAGGCATCAGATGATTTTATCTCATAGAGTAGTGTAGTTTCTTGGCATAAAGCCCTGAAGATAACACCTCAGTTTAAAGCTGATGTAGCTCTTGATTTTGTATATGATTAATGACCCCAATATTCAGGTGTCCCTCACTGGTACCCAGGGTTATGTTAATATGTTGTTCAGGTTTATGGTGCTGTACTGTGACAAGTTATGGCATTTCTTTCTCAGGTTTTTATTTATTTTATATTTTTTTTAATGCTGTTATTTTTTAAATTAATTGCATGAAGTTTGTATTAATGAAAAAAAATCCTGTGAAGATTCTTTTAATTGATTTAAATCACATCTCGGCAATATTGTCATCATTAATGATTTACAGCAATTTTCCACACTTGCGTGGGTTAGTCACGGTTACCTGATGTGAGCTCTCCATGCTGCATAGTCTCTTGCAGTCTCTCCTGTCAGGATCATAACTCTAACATAATTTCTTATAACCTCTCCTCATGTCATTCTTGGCCTATCCCAGGCTCTGCTCCCCTCCTTATATAGGCTCATGCACTTATTGATTCAATTGGTCTTATTCATTCCCTCACATGTCTTCACCATCGACTTATTATCTACTGTACTTGGTTTGTGGATCAAATTTCTGCCAGTTTGATTAATAAAGATTGAGTGACAAAGTACAAGATCTTAACGTTTTGTTGATAGTTTTTGTTCTTCCTGTCAAGTTACAAAGTTAAAAGAGCGATTATAAAATTTGACAAAATGCTTACTGTGACATTTCAAATACTGTATATTTTCCCATGCTACAATAGGATAGTTTTAATTTAATGTTAAGCAGTTTATTGCATCAGTTGTGGCCAGCCGGGAAGGAATTTTGCATATCATCTCTACACTATAGAAAGCTGAATTCCTTTCTCTTGTGAGCATTTGATTCATATTTATAACTATAAACTTTGTCCTTAAAGACTGTTTAGTGTACAGTAGATATGGCATTATTTGTCCCTAGACCCTCTAATATACTAGTGCTGAGTGAGCTAAATATTTCTTTGTTATGTACAGTTATATCATCTTGGCTACAACCTTTCCGTGCACATTAGGTACTGGTACTTGTCCTGTCTATATCACCAGTCGTTTGTAGTCTAATAGCAACAATTTAAAACTGGTTACCTGTAGATTCATTATAAAGTCATCATCATCATTTATTATCATCAATAGCATCATCATTATTCATCACCATTTTGCAGCCTACCTCTAGGTTCATTTTACAGTTCTCATAATCAATCATCATAATTCATCACTATATTACAACCATTTCCCATGCTTGTTTATTTGAACACATTAATAACAGTGAAAGATAGAAGGGTAGGAGGGTATTTATTGGTGGCCACATCACTGATACCAGCACAGTCACCTTGATCCCAGCTCACCAGTTAATCCTTGTTCCTGAAGATTTCATGCATCTTCTCTGGGAAATTTATTGTTGTTATTTAATTGTATAATTTCTTCAAGTTTAATCCCTTCATTATAGGGACAGGCGATTTTATTCAGCAACAGAGGGAATCCCATACACGAGGGGTTAAAGTTAGTAACAACTCAAGTCACCCTATGTATTCTGTGTATGGTGTTACATGTGTATATTAAATTGGCCAACACACAAAGATAAATTAAGAAGTGCCTCAGTGGCTGAAACATTAGTCCTGTTTAGGTGAAGGTTGAGTGGAGAAAGACATGGAGTATAATTTCTTGATTAGGTTTGACAGAGTGAGAGGAAATATGTCTTACCAATTTATAGTTGCTTAGAATGGAAGGGTTTACTGATATTTTGTTGGCCAATACAAGCATGATTGTTCTGACTAAATTCATAGATCTAGAACATAGTTTATAATTGTTTAACAAATATGAAGGTTTGTAAGGTGTGACCCAGCCAAGGTCATAGAATATGAAGATTTTGTAGGTACCTGTACTGTACCTGATCACATTTGAAGGTTTTCTTGGGAAGGTGCCAGGGAAGCAGACAGGCTTGCCACATACAGTATCATATCTCAGGATTTGAATGTAATCTTTCTACACCTTATCAGAAACCTTCAACACACCACAGCAGGCTCATCCTCTGTGATATATTATATATGCGATTATACAGTACTGTACTGTATTTAAATTAATACACACTTGGGAAATCAATAATTTTTAATTTTTCTGGTATTCTTTTATATAATCAAGCATGAAACTGTAAGGTACTGAAAGACAAAGATGAAGTCTAAAGGTCAATTCACATTTACTGTCATGGATCGTCAAATTCCGTAAAAAAAATTTTTACTGTCGGTATTTCAATGGAGCTGCTCACACTAATGGAAACATCAATGTTTCATCACATCACGTCTCTGTTGTATTGTATTCTGTCTCGGTTTCTCTGGAAGAATAGTTTGACACGACATGTCAGAGCTGTACCGTTACTGATACTGTAGTGTGAACTAAGAACCATACCACAGCTGAGGGCAGGAGCAGATGCTTTCATATTCCAGCATCATGGATGAAAATTTAAAATTGAACTGGTTAGGAACTCCTGAAGAACTACAGTATATGATATGACGAGTGACAATATACTGAAGGATAAAATATGGAAATTGATAAAAGAACTGCACAAAGCAGTTAGGAAATCTAGCCTTTATTAGCACATTATAAGAATTATATAGCCTTTACAACTTACAGGACCAGAAAATAGTCATGAAATCAAGAGATCCATTTAAACACCAGCTAGGTCCTTGTTTTGATGAAATATTTGGTGGAAAGTGAAGGAAAGAAAGAAAGAACAAAAGCCTGCTGACCCTTCTCGTGTCATCAAAGTAGTCGGAGATAGTAATGTTTATTCAGTGAAATTGTCATAAAGGTTTACAATTGGAGAGGCATATATATAAACTATGTAGTTATACAGATCTGTATGAATACTACTGTATTGACAATGTAGGTACTGTAAAGGGTGCATGTAGGCCATGGGAGTAAACAGTTTCCTGTGTGCCTAGATAGTGTAGGTAAATGACAATGGTAAATGATAGGCATTTAACCAGGAGGGTTATATGCACACATCAGCAGAAAGGTGACAACTGCACAATTTTCAGACTGTAATATCCCTGTGAAATATAAAACTGTAGCTATCGAGTACTGAATATAGAAATGCTGTATGATAGTCTTAAAATTTAACATGATCAGGATAACAGTAAAGTAGATAAGATAGTTTGGTATGAGGTTTTCAGATTTTGTGAAGAGGATTGATGCCTCATTAAATTTTGGCTAATCATAGGCAAGAGGGTAATAGTGATGTTATTCTTACTAATACAGAGAACTTATGTGATAGGGAGTTATTCAGGACTATTGTAGTGTTAGGATTTATTTTAGAATATTATAAAATGAACATTTATTTCAGTCATATATTGTACCATAGTTTCATCAGGCACTGTGTGTGGTATGACATGATATAGTTTTCTAGTTTTGGAAATAACTGCTTAAATGAACAGGAAATACCATATCTACAACAGAAAAATTATTGCAGCTCTTCAAATAAGATATGACTAACAGTGAGGTGGGTTTTGGGCGAGTGTCTTGTGATTGCTTTGCTGTTTATATTTTTCTTGCTGGTGTTATCAGCTAGAAGATAACACCACTGGTCTCTGTTACCTCTTTCACTATCCACTTTGAATTCCTTGGCAGTTTGACATGCTTGTACTGAAGTTATCATCCCACATTTGCTCTTACTTCACCATCTCATAATACCACTCCCACCATCAATAGGGAGCATTAATTTTTTGTCTTTTTTTGTGTGTCCAGATAGTGTTACTCATAGGCAAAGGTGTGTATTTTATAGGCATTTTTCTAGTTATTCTCGTCTTTTTTTTGCCATCTTCAGTGAATATTTCAACGTGGCTTTCAGTTTTTCATCATGTCAATAATATTACAGTAGAGTGATGCTGACTGCTCAACACTTGTCATATATTCTTTACTTCTTCTGTTGAATGCACAGTACGTATAATATGTAGTGTGTATTATTTAAAACATGGTGGTGCATCAGACATGAGGCCTCTCATTAATTTGACAAAATGAAACCAAAACAGATACACATCATTGGAGGTGGACTACAGAACACAAACAAAAGTAACAGTGAGGCAACGTTGCACTGTTTACGGAAAGCAGAGGTGGAGTCCTCCCGTCCTAGTGACTGGAAGGACGAGCTTCGTGACATTCAGGTACTGTACCTGAATAAATCTGTCCACTTTGATGTTATTTTACATAGTGACTTATGCCCTTCTCTGTATGAAGGTCATAATGGTATGAACTGCATCATAGATATTCCACTGGAGTTTATTAGTAGGAATCAAAAAATATTTTCCTTTGTGCAGGAGTAAAATTTTTTAGACTTCACTGACATTCCTAAATTACCTGATTGCATTTAGAAGGTGTATGAATTACTTTTATTGTTTCAAGTTTTTGCTGCTAGTTTGGTTAGTTAGATTAAACAAAATGATTACAGTATTTAATTCAATCTAGAGCAGTGACAATCTTTAGCCTTATACTGTACATTTCTGTGTGTCCTGATACTAATAACCTCTTTAAGTGCTGTATATATTTACATTGACACTTGGAGCTTTACAGTGAATCAATAAGGCAAATAAGTTTCAAAAGTAACCTCAGTTAATTGTATTATAAACAACTGTTAGAATAAATGACACAAATCACACGTATCATTTTGTCTGTCCAGTAAAATACACTTGTAGTAAATGGTATGGTTACACCTGCAGGCTGCCCACGTGGAACAAGAGGTTGCTAAATTCCAACAAACTATTGACGAGACTCAACGGAGGTGGGAGGAAAACTATGCCCGAGTTGTTCCCAGAAGTACCCACACTAATGGACAGTCTGACAGTTCCACGGAAGTCCTCCACAATCCACGTGTTGGTGTGTTGTCTCTTATTTACCGTAAGAGTTTTCGCTTAGGCTGAAGATATTATCAATGGGTTTACACATAATCTTTTTTTGTATAAAACATTGACACAAACCATACATTTAACCTTTTTATTCTGTAATAGATGCATACCTGGTACCTCCTCGACATGACCTCTGGAGGACAGTGAGTGAGGACACTATTGCAGCACAGCCAAGAGACAGAACTGTGCTGCAGCCCTTTTTAAGACATACCAGCGTTGATAACCTCCAGCCCTCAACCAAAGTCTCCAATCTACGTAACCTGGGGTCACTTCCTCAGCAGAATATGAACAGTATGAATTCTGTGAGCAGTATGAGCAATATTAACATTAACAGTGTAACTGGTCTGGGTAAGAGTGCCAACTACCAGCACCAAACACACTATAACAGGTCTATGGAGAGTATGAGCACGTATAGTGATGGTGAGAGCCAAGGTGAGGGGATCGACAGTGATGCTTCAACACGCACGCCTGATGAAATGCCAGTGTTACCGTCTGTCAGGAAATTAGCCTGCAAGTTTGACCAAGCTAGCCAAGAGAGAGTTAATGATTTAGACAAACGTGGAAAGGATGTAAGCATTTTGAATTTTTTCATCATAGTAATTGTTGATGTGTTTAACCCTTAAGTGGTGGCCATAATTTTGGAAGGTTCATGTTCATTGTCTGACATTTTTGTGCAAAAGGGGAGGGGGTAGGGAATCCATATCTGCCAGTTAAGGGTTTAGCATTATTACAGTACAACATAAATATGAATTACTGTATTTACTTTAGTCAAAGTGATATAGCCATAAGAATATAAAATATTTGAAATATTTATGTATTCATTAACTTATTATTTTGCATCATTGACTGAATTTATATGCCTGTACTATTTTGGTTCAAAGAATTAATCTGTATTTTATAAACAGAATGCTCTTTCATACTATGGGAAGAAAAACATCCTCCTGATTGAGAAGTCAACATTCTCTGACCAGCCATACACTCGTAGCTTCACAAACAACCTTAATAAGCGAACAGAGAAGCCGTACATTGTTAAAGAGGTAAGACCTTTGCCTGGTGGGGAAGATTCCCATCCTGCCACAGTGACTGATACATATGATAGTGATATAGACAGTTCTGATTTTGATGACCAGGCAACAGTAACCAGCCTTAGCCTACCACCCACACCTGCCTCACTTAATGATAAACACAGCTTCAGTACCCCCAGCCTCATAGACACTGACTCTTGCTATTCAGTGGACGATAGGGACCTAGATCAGACTACTTCATGTGACCAGTTCGGTAATAAAATTATTTTTGGAGTAACTCTTCGTAGGACAAACACAAGTCCAACTAACAGTGCTGACAGTAGAAAGCATGCATCAGTTTCCTGCATATCTTCTGTTGAGGGACAGATTAACTACAGGAACAGACGCTTATCAAGTACAAGCACAGTTGATCTAGAGAGAGAAGTAACACCATCCGATAGTGATTCAGATGCACCTAATGCTCTCAGACAATCAACTATAATAAAATTACATCATGGGAGCAATTTAGATCTATCTCATCAAGATTCCAATAATCTAAGACATCAAAAAAAATACTACAGCTCATTAGATTTGTCTTCAGTTTCAAAGTCAACTGAAACAAAGGCATCTGAAGCTTCCCTTGAGACAAACAAAGCTAGAGCCATTAAGCAAACTGTATTAAGCAATTGGCCGTTGAACAGACAGATAAGTTTGCCAAACGTTTATACACTATCTGGCCCTGCATTTGTGCCAAAAGGTAGAAGAAGGATGTGTGATTTTTTGAACAGTTATTCTGGCCATAAATCATTACACGAGATGAATCCAATTGATGAAAAAATTGAGGAAGATTTAAGAAACCAAAAGCATAATGATAAACACAAGCAACAAAGATATTCAGTTCCAGTCCAACCAAAAGAATCACTTAATAAGAAATCTACTTTTAAGAAATCAAAGAGTGAAGGGTCATTAAAAGCCCCAAATAAGGATACAACTGATAGTTCCTTATTACAAGATAACACTTGTAGAGACACCCAAGTCTGGCAGATGGGGGCAAGAAACAAATCTGGGTCAACAATAAATGATGTGTCGTCTAAATTGCCAAAGCACGCAAAGACTGTTAGCGATTCAGCAACAACAGAAAATTCTTTGCAAACATCAAGAAATAATCTCACACCATCATCATTCACTAACGATCTAGTGACATCACCAGTTAATGACAGTCAGGAGGTGGTGTTGAACAGTGAAGATGAAGAGCTTCCTTATGCCTCACTTAATCTGTTACCCCAGACTTTCAGTACTAATGTTGCAGATGATGATGCTTCCTCACACACGTCTGATGGCACATACACAGCTCCTGTGACCCAGACCATGGAAGGTGACCAGTTAAAGATAAAACTGAATGAAAATCATGTTTCCCTTTTTCAGTCAAATCTGGAGGAAGATTCCCAAACACCAACTGGATCAACTATTGAAATACCTGATTTCAGAGATCAACCTGTAAAGATTAATAAAGTTATTAAGAAGAAAAGTGCTAGTAACACGACAGGTGTGCATCCCTTACGAAAGCAGAGAAGTATTGGAGATTTGTTAAAGGAATATTCTAATTTGAAATCTTTAGATGAAAAATCAGCTTTCCGAAATGTAAAAGTTATCCCAAATGTAACAAAAACAGAATCAAACAAAACTATCATAACTATTTCAGACGATGAAATGAAGTTGCAGCCTAAGATACAGATAATTGCCAAGTCTAAGGACAGTACTTGGGTAACACCCCCTACCACATGGGCTGCAGTTAACACTAAACTCTCACCTGTCACCAGTAAACACAACAAAAGTTTGACGATTGTGAATTACAAAGAACCAGCAGAGCATTTAGAGGATGATAATTCAAAGGGAACAAATGATGGTAATGAAAATGTGAAAACTATGAAACCCATTGATAAAGAACCAACAGAGGATTTATGGGATGAAATTCAGACGGCAAGAAATATGTCTCCAAATAATAAAATCCCTGATAGCGCAGGCACAAGCACAGTGATCAGTGTTCCAGATACAGAAGCACTGCTGTCCAATGCCACACCAGTGTTTCATGCAAGCATTGTATATGTAGGAAATGATGTCAAGGATAATCATGATGATTCTTCCAGAAGCAATATCTATGACAAAGTCTCTTCCATTAATAAGGATATTAATGGTAACATGAATATTGTCAATGCACCAATAAAACAGTCTTCTCCAGAATGTAGTCTTGGTGATATAACAGTGAATGGCTTGAGGGCAGAGACTAAAATAACTTCACCATCCATACAGTCTGAATTTGTTAGAGGTCCAGGTTCACCGATCACTGATACATCTTGTACTTCGCCAGAATTAGAGCAAAAGGATGTTCATATTGTCAAGGAAGATAGTAATGAAATGCCAAACACCAAAGGACCCCATGTAACCGTGATACCTGTTACAGAAGCACCTGACAACCCCTCACCTTCCCATAAGCATAATGTTACCTCTTCATCACCTGGAAATTCTAGTGATGAAGATATTCCATTTGATGACCCAATTGCCCTTACCAGGATGATTGTCAGCAGTTCTCGTGCAGGCAGCAGTAACAAGCAAAGAGCAGCGAAGAGACAAAATATCAAGAAAGCAACAGTTCCACTTAATTCTCCATTTTCCCCATTAAGACAAAAAGCTAAACACCCAGTAAATGTTACTAAGACATCAATCATTGAGGTTGGCCCAATAAAGAAGCAACTTGGTCCCAGAGATTCATATGATGAGGGTGTACATTCTCAGTTCAGTGATATGGAAATGGCTCCTTCAGCCACTTCCTTGGAGTCAAAATCAACTAGTAGCCTGGACATCGTTGGCGAGGAGGGACGCGAACCCATGGTATAGTGCAACTAATCTGCACAAGTGCATGAATCAAAAGGGTTCACAGAATGAGGTATTATTCTGGATCATTTCATTGTGGTGTGTTCTCCTTTGGCTAGTTTCTCTCAGACATCAGATATAATATTTTTAGTATCATAAGAGATAATTGTGGTACTGCATACAGTATATCTGGACATACTTGGTCTGGCTCATTTATGTACAGTACAAAAATTTACAGTTACTACAATATAGATTTTTTAACTAATGATCTAAGATCTTACATGATACTGTACTGTATAATAAAAAAAAACTTAGTACGGTAGTTGTTGACAGCAGTACCGAATCAATCTCCTGTAGAGAAAAAGCAGTTTTTTTCTAAAAACCAGTTTTTGTGATATAGTCCATAATGCAATGTCTAGCTTTATACCTAGGTATGTAAATGCCTAGCATTAACTCGCCAGGCCAACATACAGGCAATTAAAACATCAAATAATTACTTAAATACGTAATATTAGGAGGACACGTCACTACCTGGCATTTAATTGCAATTCTCAAAAACCCTCCCACACCCAAGTTACCCTACATCCTTGATAATTACATGTAGTATGTTGGTCCACTTGGGTCATGGGTGAACCTACTACTACTGAATTCACATCTTTGTATGTAGTGTATGAGCTGAGCTCTCCATTCCTTGCAGCTCCTCACTCAACACTAGTTCCCCAGGGACCGTTCCATGGTCTCCTCTGTTATCTAGCAGTCCAGACAACTGTCCTTCATCCTCCGGTTGCACATCACTCATCTAAACTAGGAGGAACACTATGCATCACATTGTATCATCATAATAATACAAGGGAGATAACATTTTCTCTCAAACATAATCAATATGACTCGTAACTGTGATATTTTAGTAAGTTATTTAATTTAATATCTCTTATTGTTATTTAAGTCACCAGTGTGACAATCATACACAACTAACTCACTGTATCATACACTTCTCCCTTCTCTTATCTCAATTATCCCTCAGCTCAGTGAACTTTGTTTCTTAATCAAGCTAACTTCATTTTAGAGCACTTATATTTTGAGGGATCACCAAGTTCTCTATTTGCTGCCAATCAGGGTGCACAGACGTCACCGCTTCAACTAATCATGCTTGAGCGATGATGCCTGAGTGAGCATCAAGTCACCCGGAAGGGTTGACAGTGCTGAGCTGCTACCATAGCGCTCCATTATCTAACATCTTTCACCATTACTCTAGCAAGATGTATTGGGCTGAGGATACTAGGTTCATCCCAACATAACTCTAGATTGCTAGTGAGACCGGAAGGTCAACGTCCGGAAGGATCACTAAGACTAGCAGCCTCGCTAAAGTTCGCCTGGAAAGGCTGAACCCACTACTGAGGACATGAATAAAATAGAGCTATGAAGAGAAAAACTTAACTCTGGCCTGAATGCTAAGAGTACAACATAACTCTAGATTGCTAGTAAGACGGAAGGTCAGCGTCCGGAAGGATCACTAAGACTAGCAGCCTCAGTAAAGTTCGCCTGGATAGGCTAAACCCGCTTCTGAAGACATTAATAAAATAGAGCTATGAAGACTTAACTTTAGCCTGCATGCTGAGAGTAATCAGAAAGCCCAGGGCAGAAGCACGAAAAGTTTCTTGAACGAACATGAGAAGAGGGAGAGGGATGGCCACATATATCATGGTATTCATTATTTGCACATGTATAATTGGGACAAAGAATTATTTTTTTTTATACAGTATACAGTATATATCTATATACAGGTATATATTTTTCAGTGAAATTGAGCCCGAAGAGCATAAAATAACATCATTCACTAAGTGTCTTGAAAGCAGAGGAAATTAGTCACTAAAGATCGACTGTCTTCCTAGAGATAGAAGACGAGCCCTGGTCGCCATGCTTGACCAGACCGTATAAAAAATTGCCCCAAACACAATATAATCAAAATAAAAGTCACTCGATTTTCTCACCGTGCTATGATGTATAAATACCAAAAATAAAATCCTCGTGGCACATAATACTTCAGCTATTACAACACAAATTAGCGGAGCTTTCCTTGCACGTATTTACAGCTGATTCACCAGGCAAGAAGATGACGGTAGCAATGCGTGTGATGGAGGGTGTGGGGGGGGTGAGAATTTTAATTAAATGCCAGGTAGTGACGTGTCTTCCTAATATTACGTATTTAAGTAATTATTAGATGTTTTAATTGCCTGTATGTTGGCCTGGCGAGTTAATGCTAGGCATTTACATATCTAGGTATAAAGCTAGACGTTGCAGTCTGGAATGAACAAAAAAAATATTGCCATGTTACTTTAAAAAACAAAGATTCAAGGTTAAATTCATTTTGTGATAAGTAACCATTCCATTTACCTAACTGCTTGTCGTAACACTTAACATCTCACTCTCCAAGTTTTAGAATGTACAGTATATTGGCTTTGTAAATATGGTCTTTCACAAATTCCAAATATAATTGTATGACCTGCTTAATAGTAAAAGCAAAAAATTTAGATGTCTGAAAGAATGCTATCAGTTCGAACATTGTTCATTGATTACAGCCAAAGGTATTTGTTCAAAATATTGCTATATCCTGTTGGGAAGTGACTTTGTATGGAGGCTTTCTTATGTGATGTCTTGGTGCAGACCCTGGCCGTACACTCAGTTTGGGATCTCCGTGATTGGTGTTGGTCCTAAGTTTGGGATTATTTTTGATGAACTGTCTGTAACTGACTGGCTATTGAAAAAAAATATATACAGTACATCTGTTTAATGTTAACTACATCTGACATGACTCCTTTTCTAGTCTATGAAATCCTGACAGAACTCTACCCTTGGTGTTGTCTCAGGCAGTTGTGTGCTAGTGGACTCTGAATCTTCTATGTGACTGTAGCATGATATTGATTCTTTGACATAAATTTAATAAGAGTAATATTTTTTAGCTTTTATAAAATTCCTCATTAGAGTTACAAGCACATGGAAGAGCAGTCCAAGATGTCCACACACCTCTCGTGACAACTTAGCATACTAGTCTTTTAACCACACCAAGAGACTTTGGCATTGTGACTTGTACCTGTCTTGTGACATGTTCCTTCCTGTACTCTGTCTCTCTTAAAGGTGTACTGTGACATGCTGAAATCTGTTTGACCTTTGCAAGTGACCTCCTCTCTTTATTACTTGGGTTTATTTGACACGTTTACCTCACATGACTAGTGACTGAACGTGTACTGTACAACTTGGTGACTGACTTCATGTGGTTCATCTATGATATCTATTTCATTCTTTTTTAATTTGTAGTATATACAGTATAAGGGAAATTGTCATTGTAATTTATAACTATGATAATTTCTACTTTTGTCCACTTACACACAGTAATGAGTATGTTTTGCTTTTCATGTTTTGATACCAGGTAAGGAATAACTTATTTAGCTTTCTTTGCTTATGTTCATTACCATATATTTTAATTATATACCTTGTCATTTACCATTCTCCGCTCTCTGATCTACTTTCCCTTTAGTTTAGCTCATGAAGGGAACCTTTACTTTTTTCTACTCTAAATTTCATAGTTTAAACAAAAGCAAACCCTTCATTTACTACATCACCATACCAATATACAAATGTCTACAGCAAATTCTTCAAGAAGTTTTAGTGTTTATAATGAAGGTAACTTGTAAGCAGCTTGTTGACAGGATAATACTACTTACTGTACCTGCATCTTAATATGCATACAGTATAGGAAAGAGAATTACAATGCAATACAGTATAGAGTGACATGAGGTAATGTACTTTATACGTCTGCTCATAGACTAATATTATTGGTAAGAGGTAATTTTGCTTCCACTCGAGGAATTAATATACTTTTACCTTAGTATAATGGATTATTCCACATTGAATTAAAGTATACTACACCTATCACTTTTTATGCATTTAGTTAAAAGTTACTGCTAAATAAGTACTGTAAACTCAAAATGATCCCACACTGTGTAAACTTCGTCTTCACTCTCTTTAGATAAGTACTGTACAGTAATATCTTCGATAGCTGGAATCCCCTTTTAACCAGAACTCTCCGTTAGCCGGAATCCCTTTTAACCGGAACTCTCCGATAGCCGGAATTTAAATTTTCTTGGAAAATTTTTCCCCAAACCGGAATTTTTAGGAAATTTCTGGCTTTGGGAAAAATTTTCCCGGGGGGCCCATTGTTGGGAAAATTCCAGGAAAATTTTCTCGGTACTGGTACCTGGAAAATTCCTGATATAGGGGATTTTTATTTTGGGTTTGGGGGATGAAAATCAGGAGCATTTTCCAGAAATTTTGAGAAAAATTTTCCAGTACCCAGAAAATTCTGTGGATGGGGGATTTTTTCCGGCTTTGAGAGATGAAATAATGCGTTATTCTGGAAAATTCTGAGGAAATTCTGGGAATGGCGGATTTCGCTCCAGGTTCAAGAGATTATGTAATGCACAACTTCTGGAACTTCCGAGAAAATTTTCCGGTTACCCCGAAAATTCCAGAAAATTCGGGGGATGAGGGATTTTTTCCCGGCTTTGAAAGAGTCATCTTGTTACCGGTACCCAGAAATCTCTCATTCCCGTAAGTGCTCTGCACCAATTGTTCCAGCTAATGGAGATATCACTGTACTTGCTTGGGCTGAGGCTTCGAGGCGGTGTAGTAGGTTATTCGGAAGGATAATTTTTCATTGTCATCACTTGATCCTCAAAATGTTCTGCAGTAAAACAAAGCGTAGTGTAGGTAAGAACAGGAATGAGATCAAAAGATTAGCTGAATTATGAAAGGAGTGAATGACAAAGTAAATAATGGGTTGGTACATATGGAGATGCCATGGACATGTGAAAAGAATGACAAAGTAATTTTCTTATAAGTATGTGAAAATCAAGAATGTGACATACGGTAAAGTGTAAAGACAATGAAAAAACATGTCTAAGGAACCTTTAATATTTGGAGAAGCCTCCTTGGAAATGGTACTATGTGTGAGCCATCCTATATGGTGGAAGAACACAAGTACAGGTACTCCTCGACTTACGACGGGTTAGGGACCGACATCCAGGTCGCAAGTCGAAATGGTCGTAAGTCGGAAATGCTTAAATAACACAGAAAATCGAAAATTTGGGTCTCTTTTTCTTCTCAGCACCACAAAACACTCACTTTTAAGCTTGCCAGCCATTTTAAAGTGAATTACAGATGAAAATTTTGTCTGTGTACTGACTTTGGGACTCAAAAATACATAATTTGACCACATTTTGGTACAACTGAGGCGGTTGTAAGTGCGGGTGGACGTAAGTCGAGTCGGTCGTAAGTCGGGGAGTATCTGTATAGTATAGCATAGTATATAGGTAGGCAAGACATTTTACCGGGATACACATGCTGTGACTTTTTCCTTTATTATTCTTCTCTGCATTTAGATGTGGTATGTCTTTCTCTTTTCAAGCAGCTTTTGTTTATAAATAATGGGAGATGGTGTAAGAAGAAATTTTCTATGGATATGTAAAGCTGTGTAGGTTTTAACTTGTCTTTGTTCATGAAAGTGTAGTAAATTTAGCCTTGCTGTTGATTATCTAACAATATTTGTAATCTGTGCTGTCAAATATTTTAACTTTAACATATCTCAATTGCAGCTGTAAGAACGTTCAAACGAATGATAAACATTGCTTTTAAATATTTACACAAATTAGAGTACTTTTTTGTATAATGTCCCACAACACTTCAAGAAATAATGCATTCATTTATCCCACAGGTTCACAGCTTAACAGCTCGAAGTGTTCCTCGACAATTCCGTGAAGGTTTACGAAATTCTCACACAATTAGCCAGGACTTATCTTCCAAGCCACCCTCACACCACTCCTCCCACTCTCCAAGAAGAGATGCACCATCCCCAGAACACCTTGGCATTCCGTGGGGTCCAGCAGCAATTCCAATACGACCAACTCAAATTCACGGTGACACTAGCGATGATTCATCTGCCACTTCTGGATCACCGCGCCGTGTCCCCAGGAGGAGGAGTGGGGGACGCCGTGACCATCCTGGGTGGTACGCGCGTCCAGAGTGTGGCTCACTTACTGATCCAGCCACGCATGCTGCTGCTGATAGTTTCTGCTGAGGTGATCTGAAGTTTTTGTACTGTATTTTATGTGTGACATGGTAGTGAAAGTCTTAAAAGAAATTATCTTATGTGACTAAATATTAACAGAAAATGAGAATAACCTCATCCTAGTGTGATTATTGATGCCTTATTCAACATATCAAATGTTGCATTAAGGGTGACTAAGTTAAGTGTTACGTTAATAGTTACATACAGTAAGTGTAAACAAATGGGTATACTGTATTGTATAACAGAAGTACACAAGGAAGTTTCAGAAGCTTGAAAAGTTTCATAATTATCATGTGGGATACGATGGAATTTAAAGTATCTTGTTATTCACAAGACTTAAAAAGTGAGCAGAAAACAAGTCTGTCTCGTAAATGATGTGCACTGTACTTACAAGCTTCCAGACAATTATCTGAACTCCAAAATGGTTTGAAGAACTTCAGCACATTCACTTCATTTGTGATTTTAGTGACCTTTGGTATGAACATAAAGTGACTTACTACAATGTAATTTTAGTGATTTAATGTTACCTGTTATTCAGGTGATATTTGTACAGGTACATAGTATTGAAATAATAATGATACTCTAGTAATTTTACATTGTAGATTAAATACTGAGGACCAGAATTTTTTATGTATTATAGTGGACTGGTCACATAATGAATGTACGGTATTAAGATATTATTTACATTGTCTGCTGTACACACCATTGTAAATAAGCATAAGTCAGGAACAACATTTTTATTTTTTGTTTAAATCAGGATCACTGTGAATTTAATTCATAAGTCATCATTAAAAGTATTAGGAATTAAATACTATGTAAAAACTTGAGATAAATATCATTTCATATTATACATATATATATAATTTTTAAATTAGGTTCATAGCTACCGGCATTGCTTTTTATTATTGTTGGTAATATGGTACTGTACAGTATACTGTATTGTGATTGGTAGCTGTGATCAAACTAGTTTAATAGTAACACTGTTGAGGCAGCAGCTGTAGCAATGACCAGTCATGAATATTTTGTTTGAATCTGTTGTAGTAATAATTACTTTTCTCAAGGAAACTTGTGCTCCTGCATTATTGATTGTAACTGTACTGGTGCCTTTCACAACTTTGTGACTAACTGCCTTAAGTGTTTGTGATTTTTGTTGTACAATATATGGTGAGATTATTATTGTACCCAGATGAATTGTTACACTTGATTCTAGAGGCAAGGAATGTATTAGAAACTAAGTATCACCAAAAAACTTTCACCAGCTGATATTAACACAAGCACACAATAAACTTATGGGATTACTAAAAAACTGTGTAAAAGGATAGAAAATTTGTTACAGTAAACTAGGAAGGTAAAGCTGTACAGTAATTTTCATGTTTATATTGCTTTATACATTTTACAGATTCTTAGTCATATTGATGTATGCCCATTAACAGCAGTGGATTAATCAAAGAGAAAACTTCTGCCTATATCCTGTTGGTCTCCTTGTACCAAGCAGAATAGCATACAGGTATGTGAATTATCCTCCACAAAACTCTAGCTCAGAATGTCTTGGTAGGTTCCTTTATGAACTCATCCCTTATACAAGTACATGCCTTCCGCTTACTCAGTCCTGTTGTTGCTTATTATCAGTCAGTCAGGCACCTGAGGATTGGTCACCATGGCCTTCCACTCCTAATGTCTTTCAGTTATCTTTACCAGTCCATCCCAGTGTGTACCCTACATAAAATTTACAAACTCACTATGCAAACCCCAATACTCTTCTGATATTCATAATATGAGATTTGAAACGGCACATTGTAACTGTAAATATCAACTGAAGCAGTCACTCAGCCCAGAACAACAGTACTGTGTTTAGGGTTTTCCATCCACCTATAGAATCAAGTGATATTTGAACAAATTGTCGTGTTATTAACAATTATTAATTAAAAATGTGGATCAAGAAAATTTTAGGTATCACACTAAAATATATAGTACAGTATATGTACTTCTGTTTACCTCCCATTAACACAGATTTGGTTCCAATTGCTTATTAACCATGTGTCATAGAATTAATGTGTCTCTATACTAATTTCATGATTGAAACATGACTAATATAAACCATGAAATAAGAACATAGCATCTATGAATAACACACCTTTTACAAATATAACCAAGTGCAGTTTTTGGAAGAAATTGCTGTCAATAGATGGCCTAGGGATAAACTTTTTGTTTCAAATAATTAAAAGAAAATTTAGGTTTCAGTGCAAGCTTTTTACATTCTGGTTTAGCGTGCCATAATGAGACATCACATTTGGAATTATCTGTAAGTTCTAACTCTTAGTACAGTTCCTGTTAATCCATATACAAATGTGAATTTTCATTCATGAATCAAATATATGGGCCTTTTATACTGCTTTTTTATTACTCATAAAAATCATAACTTTCCATTGTAGGATATGTCCTACACATAATGCCCAGTTTCCACTCTGTAAAAGTGGATTGGTTAAAGGAATGGCATCTGGCCATAAAAATTCCTTCATATTAACCTGATTGCAACCAGGACAGTATGCCATCAGGTAATCATGGTTTACCCATGCAAGTATGGAAAATGGTTGTAAAATAGTAGTGCTGTATTATCTCCATTCACACCAACATCCATTTGCCAGGTCTCCCTTCTCTACTTATTTTCATCACTTTTAATCACATTCTGTATTAACCTTCTTGTGCACTTCTGAATTCAGTCACTAAATACATTTGTAACTGTAATAATGAACTTCCTACTACAGCAGTGTCATTTGGAAATAACATAGTAGTTGACCTTTCCTTTATTCACATTCCATATCACTTCTTGCCAAACTTGCTTCCTTCTTCATTACTGTATTGTACTTTGTTTTCAACACTTTTACTGCACCTAAACCATGGTGACATTACACATCCCTGACACAGCCTTACTTTCACCCAACCACTTTCCCTTTTCCTAACAATAACTATGTACAGCATTCACATTTATCCCATACAGTAATCATTCCATATCACATTTAAGATTTAGCAATTCATTGATTTACAGTACAGTATTTCAATATACAGGGCCCCTGTATTTCATTATTTATCCTGTAAATTCGTAACAACTTTTTTGGTTTTATTTGTATTTATTAAAAATTTCTATACACTATTACCTATCAACATAAATACAGCTGTACCAAAATTACTATTAGATTCCTTGGGTCTGAAAACATGGGTAAAGCCACAAAAGTCGAAGTTAACTGCAAGATGATATATATTTTAATGTGGTGTCATGGCCATTTTGAAAAATGGCTGCCAGCCACCAGCAGGCAGATATAAATTGCCTACAATCTATAAAATGACCCGCATGAGTCTTGGTATCAGTGTACAAAGTAAAAAAAAATGCACAATTTGGCTAAAAGTTGTACCTCATCCTCTGGACTATGGTAATTTTTAATGCATATACTAAATGGTATTACAGTATTATCTAAAATTATGTTTCCAGTACAGTGATCCCTCGGTTAACGAGCGCCTCGGTTAACAAGTTACCTTCCATAAGATTCTTAACTTCGGTTAACAAGCAATCCCTCGATTAACGAGTTTTTTACAAGCCGACCTCAACATGTTTTCGCTTGCATCTGGCAGTCCACCACCTGTACTATTAGTCCGCCAATACAGTAATCGGTTTTATGGCTTAAATTCCTTACTATTTTAGTAAATATCAAGAAGTTTATACTATTCAATAATTTTAAAAGTTTAATATTAATATTTTTTTAGTCATTTTAACAATTATTGAACATAATCGAAGGTAAAGAGACTAGTTTCTGGCACGCCATCCAGCCTGTTAACACACAAACAGGCGTTAGTCTCTCTCTCTTTTCAGTGGAGGTAACATATTGCTCGAGACTCTCTTCAACTAAATGCTTTTTTTCTGTGTTTCCAAGCAAATTATTGGTCATTTTGAAATTTATTTTACATATTGACAATATATAATGCAGTGCAGTGTTGATTTAAAGAAAATAATCTTGAATTACACCAAGAGAGCTAAAATTTTATGGGTGAAATGGCGCCATGGGGTGACTCTCTTCCACCCCAATGCCTTCTCTTCTCCCTTCTCCTCCATCCCCATTCTAATTCCCATCATATCCAGGAGCCTTCTACACCCACACCTCAAAGTAAGTGTGCTTTTCTACATTTTTTGTTGAATTTAGGCAATTTTCTGTGAGCTGAAACCAATTACCCAAAAACCCACTGAAACAATGGTTTTGGTTAACGAGTTTTTCGGTTAACGAGCATCATGCTGGAACGGATTGTGCTCGTTAACCGAGGGACCACTGTACTTTACAGTCTTTGGTTAAATGAAGATAAAATAAATTTTTGTTTTATTACGATTTACTTTAAACACATTCCATATAGAAGAAAAATCAAATTAAGCATATTTCATATAATCTTTCCCAGAATCACACTTGTACATTATATACATTAAACAATATCTACCTAATACCTTACAGATACAAAACAGTTCACTTATATGTTACTTATCCCCAGTCTCTCGGCTTGTTCAAGAGCGCTCTTTAAGTGCTCGTCAAAAAGCTCGCATCTGATGGGCATTTCTAAGGAATAAAAGGGGTTCTTGAGGGCAAAATCTGAGTAGATCTCGTACACTCGATGGAGGAGGTTATCAATACCAGTCTGTTTGACGTCGGATATCACCATGAATTTAACCCCTGAAAAAAAGAAAATAAATGTATGGAAATTCGAATCGTGAAGTTATTCTGAATCAAATTGCATCCGTTTATACTATTCCAACACCAAGAAGCTGCTGTATTAACACATTTGTAGAGCCATTAAATTTATTATCATGGGAAGATCCATTATGAATCCCTAAGTTTCATTACCCAAAAAGAATAGTTTACAAAATCTTCCTCTGTAGGGCACCATGTGGGTTAGAGAACTGTTCATCATTTTCACCAAAACAATACTAACAAATGACTTATCACACTTAAGAATAAAGAAATATCAAAACATGGTTATGTATTTTCAAAACCTTACCCACAGGTTTTCCACAGGTAAATCTTATATTGCACGTGTATAAGAATTAAAAACTATTTTTGGCTTGGAAATTCTCCTGGCAATAAACCTAAAGTCACAGTACCTGTGAGTGTCTGAAAGCAGTTCATTCTGAAGTTATCTGCTTCTAGAATCTCTATGCCTGAGCTTCTCTGTTCTGGGCTAAGCTGACATGCCAGGGCATATAGTGGGTAAAACATTGATGCCTGAAAAAGATATAAAATATTACATATTTTTTTCTTCTACAGAAATTCCTTTACTGAAGAAATTTATGACATGGAAGATACAATACATCACTCATAAGACATCAACTATTTCTTCTATAGATAATTTGTTTTTGTACATTTGCATATTATCAACATTAATAGCTGTGAAATTCGTTCACTGATTAATTAGTGAGAAAAGTGAACAGCAGTACAGTTTAAAAGCATGAATGTGTTTCCAGGAACATAATCCTCTCACCCATCAGGGGATACCTATACTGTACTGGGATATCCAACTTTTGAAAAGAACATTGATTAAATTTTAATCAATGAAATTTTGAGATTGACAAGAGTGAGGAAAGAAAACTTAAGAATTATGCAAGAGAGTAAGATATAGAAACTACTGAAACAAACAGATGGTGCAGTCTATGAAATAAAGAGGCTGAAATTTCTGGACCATCTGAAGATTATCAACCCCAACTTGTTTCTCCTAATGATGAAACACTGTAATGCTACCTGGAGGTGTTAGGTTAAGCAAAGACAAGTTAGTATTATGGTGTTTAACCATCTGGTGATATGGAATTCGCCTGCTAACCTTCATACAATCCAAATTTTCTGCATTATTACCTGGAATATTTTTTCATTTGTTGTTAGTCTAGGTCTTGCAAACTTGAGGTTAATTGGATAATTAGCTTCATCAGCCAACACTAACATGGCATCACGACCATCCTCCAGCTGCTGTCCAGTGACTTTCATCCCATTAACAGCCATAAGCGTGTGACCCACTGTAACAAAATATATCATATTTAATAAGGTCGAAAGATTAGGAAATGACCATTGAAAAAAGAATGGTGATAGAGAGAATGGCTGGATTACCTGGTAATTAAACAGAAAGAAGAGCATATGAGCACCAAAGCTGCACCTACATCTCACACAATATATTGACAACAGAATTGCCACAACAATATTAAATATATACAACCATAGAGATTTCATAACCAAGCTTGCACAACTGGCATCAACTATTCAAACGGTAATCCACGTGCCAGTTCTCCATTAATTTAGATATAACCTTAACAATACAATTATAATAATTAATACAAATTATATATTATTGGTAAATTTTAATACAATTTATAATATTACAGTACCCTATTCACAATTATGCTTCCTCACAATGGTTGATACCACCCATCATTGTGGATAAATATTATAACTTAGTTTAGTTACAACAGGTGTTGTCATGGTTTGGATTTTACAAGACACTCACTGATAACCTGAAGATCTTACCTTTGATCCCATCACGCTGGCCATAAGACACCACAATGTTCCTGTTCTGCACCTCCAGCTTCACCTCTAAAGGATAGCTGAAAGTCTTTTCATGCTCAACAGTTGGTATGTTGTGGTCATGCTGGTATATGAGTCCTCCTGACTTGCTCAGAATATATAAGCTGTGAACTGTCATTTTATCTGTAAGAATATAAAGATTAATTTGATGAAACTTATACATTAGTGTTGTCATAAACTACTTTACTGTACATTTGACTGAGATATGACAACATAATATTTGTTACAGGATATTGTAATACCTGTAATAACAAAGGTGATACAAATTAATAGATTACATCATCTCCTCATCATAACCTGGAAAATAAAAGATTTCAAGCCAATATTTATGCTAATAAAATGCCCGACGCTCCATCATTTATGCTAAAGATATCCAAGACCAGATTCAAAATGTAATAGTTTAAGAGCAAACAACAAGTGATGACATGAAAGAATTTTCGGCAGAATATTTATGGTAAATACACACAAGTAGAGACATGATATTACTGCAATAAGATCATTTTTTTGGCTGTTTTTTACCCCCAAATTTCACCCATACAGGTGATTTATGATCATAGGTAGAAAATAAAAAATAGAGCTAAAGGAAAAGGTTGTATAATTTTTATTAGTTACTATTATCCAAACAATAACTGTGTAAAATATGACCAAATTATATAAACACCTTCGGGTGCTAACCGTCTCCTTCACTTTTACCAAAGTTAATTATTTTGGTAAATTCTGAGAGCAGCACTACCACCAGAAGGAGTTGTTTAATTTTGTTCATTTTTTCCAAATACGTTCTAATCATTATAGTAAGTACAGTACAGGTGTTTTAAAAGAAACGACAACTTTTAATTTATTTATTTATTTATTTTTTTAGTTTTTCTCTATGGGCATGAAAGAAGAGGGAACTTGCGGGGTAAATAACCGTAAAAAAAATCATCATTTGACACTACAATGATATGTTTTTGTGCTTTGTACATGAAGAAATTAATTATTTACCATACGCTTGGTCCTAGCGTACTCTAATGTCCACAAAAAACGTAAAATTACACCATGACACTTTAATAAAGTTACTTTCATTGGTACCAGATATCAAAATAGTACTTTGTTTAATATGGCGGGAGGTCTGGGTTGCGGAGCCCCTGACTGGGAAGTTAAGTAAGGTTAGATAGGTTTCTTTGGTTGGTCGCCTCTTTTAAAGGTATTATTATCGTTTCGATCATCCAGCGAATTTTAGAATTTTAAGTGGTTAGGTTTAGGTCAGGTTAGGTTGAAATTACATTTTTCCGATGGTTTTTTGTGTGTTTTGAACGATTCTGACCTTAATTAATTTATATAGAAAAATTATTACTTTTTGTGATTTTCTCCCACACAAAACCCCTGGTTTCCACTGGGGGTCCCCCATTATCATTGGATAAGGGCGAGGGAGCTCAAAAAGTAGTTATTTGCAGTAGAAATGAAGGTCAGCGTTCAAAACTCATCAAAAACCACCGGGAAATATAAGTTCAACTTACAAATAGGTGGATGACCGAAACAACAATTTTACCCTTTTAAAATACGTACTATAATCATAGGAACGTGGAAAAAATGAACGAAATCCAACAACAACTTCTGATGGTAGTGCTGTTCTCAAACATTACCATTATTTTAGGTTAGGCTAGGCAGGTTGGAATCAAACAACAACTTCTGATGATAGTGCTGTTCTCAGACATTACCATTACTTAAGGTTAGGCTAGGCAGGTTGGTCATGATGCTATTTTGTTAACAATTTGTATAGAAAGTTTGCTGGGAAGCATTCCTTTGATTAGGTAGGATAGTTTGGCTCATTTTAAGAATGATTCATTATATACAGTAATGTATAAAATAAAGTTCCCAATCACGCTGAATTGCAATACAGGTTCCCGTGATTTTACGCCCATTTGATACAGTATTATCATAATTCTCCATATTCTATGGGCAGTAGATATTTTGCTGTGACTGGAAAGTTCCTACTAACGTTATTTTACCGTGAGTGTGCTCTGATTGGCGAATCGTATATTACCGGTGAACAAAGTGAGAAATATATTTGACCTCTGGTGGCATTTGGCATTTATTTTGTCTTGAGTGGATAGTTGTGTAGTTATAAACATACCTAACCATGTTTCTGTTGTACATGAGAACTTATCAGTATAAAAGATGTGACATTCACTAGAACCTGACCTTAACAACCAAAGGCACCTACCTAAACCAACCTAACTTCCTAGCCGGAGGCCGTCATATTGAAAGAAAGTATGGTAATTATATAAGAATAACCTGTGAGCGAAATTGATTCAAAACAATTATAAAAAAGCAGGATTTTCATTGATATATTATAGAGGACACTGTTGTAGTTTATGGAAATCTGTTAAAAAATGGATTTTTAAAATAAACGCTACTTAACATTTGTGGGTATGAAAAACAGACCTAACAAACCAAACCAATAAACCTACTTAACCTGACCTAACTTCCCCGGTATATTAAACAAAGAACTTACTATGATATGGTGAAATTTGAGGTTTTTCTAGATGAGATGAAACGGTCACATCGGCGCTATAGAGCCCTGACGGGTTAGTCCTATATATTAACCTTAAGTACTTAGCCAATCAGAGCGCACTCACGGTAAAATAGCGTTGCATTAGTAGAAACTTAGCCATTCACGGTAAAATATCCACTATGTATTATATCTATGGAAGCTTTAAAGTGATGGTGGTCGACACACCTTATATCTAACAGTATAAGAAATAAATTAAGTAAAAAATATAACATCACACTATTAGGTTTACATAGTTTGGTTGATATAGGTACATAAAATGAGAATTAAAGTTTATACAGAATTAAAGGTTAGGTGAGAGGGAGGAGCAGATTCTTACTGTTGACACTACCTGACAGTCCAACCCGGGACCTATAACAGGGTTGTGTAAAACTAAGTGAAAATTATTAAAAACCTTATATAAATTTAGGATATCTAGATAGAATGACTAGATTATAATATTTTTTTAATATAATCATTATATTTTAAATTTACTTGATAAATATTTATATGTAATGCGTAAGTTTATTTGAAAATAAAAACTAATGAATAATATGTATTTAAGAAAACTCCCCCAACTCTCACTGAACACCGAAAACTTCTATTAATGCTTTGATTATTGCGTTTATATATCTGATTCCATAGAGAATACATGAAAAATCTATTTCAATTTTAAAAGTACACACAAAGGTTAGTAATATATCCTCAAAATAGAAATATTAGTGGGAACTTGACTGTGGTTTAGTTATTTTTGCCTTTCAGTAACTCTGCCCTCAATATCCAGGTTACGTTCTGTTTAAAAATCGCTATGAATATATATATGAACACATTATATTCAATATAATATTATGTAAAATATTTATATAATAATATATATTATCATGAAGAAATAAACAATATAAAAATGCTGAAAGATAAAAGTAATTCTTAATATACTCGAGAATATAACCCTGATGGTGCCTAGTGCAGATGACAGGAGCCATGGCAGGGAGCCGAGTGTTGTTTGGGTTAATATTGTGGTTTACTTATACAGGAAACACACACGGATTATATGAAGATCAGATAGGGAAGTTTGACTGGTAAGTGGCCACCCTGAGAGGAAGGACCAAGGCTCTGTGTGATGGTTGTAAAGGGAAGGGTAAGTTATGGTGAGGCCGGGTAGTGGTGAGGCTGACATGAGTTATTTAATTTAATGAGTTAATGATCCTCCCGCTGGTTTAGATATATATTGATTAACGTGAAGCATTGGTTACACTGCTTGGATATAAGGTTATACTGTAGCAGATGGCTAGCACCAGAAGGAGTTTGAATGCGTTCAATTTTTTCCACATGTTCTTTGGATAATTGAAATAAAAACAAAACTACTTTTCTTTTTATGAATATTTTTAATTTGTTTTAGATTTTTACATATTTACGATCAAAAATCACCTGTAATGGGCGGGGTATAGAGGATGAGGGCATTTGCGGGGTAAAACACGGTGAAAACTGATCATATGACACTAATATGATGTCTCTGTGTTGTGTATGTGAAGAAATTAATTATTTACTGTAAGTATTCCTCTAAAAACTCTGTCATATCAGCACATATTGTCGTCTGTGCTCTGTTTGATTACAACCAACCTGCTCGGTCCAAGCGTGCTGTCACAAAAACAAAACAAAATGTAAAATTACACCATGATGCTTCAACAGAGATGTTTTCTTTGGTATCAAATATCAAAATAAGTACATTATGTTTTAATGTGGCTAGAAAGTTAGATAAGTTGAGGTAGGTTTCTTTGGTTGGTTAGGTCAGCTTCTATTAGTTTCTGTGCATTGTTGCATCATTTTTATTACAAGAATTACTATCATTCAAAGAAAATCTGTGGAAAAAATTAACGAAATTGAACAATTACTCGAGATAATTGGAATAAGTTACTTGTGGCCACAGATGTGATGAACCTACATCTCAGGTCAGGCTGGTCTGTTTCTTGTGCCATCAGTAGCGATTTTGATAATGTTTTGGTAATTTTTTATTTAACAGGAGTAAAATTCTGAACACCTTTGATTACATTTGGCGTAACTTCCCAAAGTACTAAATATTGCTACTTCATATGATTTACCATCATAAAATGAACCAAAGTAACCTTCTTAGTCTAATCTAAAAGGTAAAATTTCACTTTGCCACCCATAGAATTTTGAGAATTTTATGGTAGCAATCAATAGTTTAGAAAATTATCCTAAACATTTTCTATGACATTTCCCTCGCAAACGACCTATTGATTGTGACCAAAAAATTCTCCAAATTCTTTGAGTGGCCACAAATTAAATAGTACCATATAGCTACTTCTCAGTTTTTTATGTTATACACCCACAAAAGTTTTGAGATCCCGAGATCAGTTGTTAGGTTTTTAACTAATCTAACATATGTTTTGTAAGATAAGGTTAAGTTAGGTTAGGTAGGTAAGTTTGGTTCATTTTCCAAATGATAAATAATATAATGTAGCAGTGTCTGGTTCTTCAGGAAGTTCTTAGAATCACCAACTGTAAGCAAGGGCATGAGTGATTTTATGCCTGATAAGTACAAGATTACTTCTATTTTAGAGGTGCCACCTTAATAACTGTGTCTATCAACACTCGTAACAATCTTGCAAGTGGAATTATTTATAACAAGATCTCAGATCACTTCCCAGTTTTTGCCATGTATAAAACAGCCACAAGATCTGAAAGGTTTAGTCAAGTCATATCTAATACTACTGTGCCAACAATATGCTCCTGTTTGAAAACAACTTTATGAATGCTAAATGGGACAACTGTAACGTAATCTGCTGTTACTTCTCTTGCATTATCAGTGCTTGCTTTGACAAATGCTTCCCCCTCTAGACTAAGTGAAAAAGTACATCTATCTCCAAGTCCTATATCACAAGTGAAATCAAGGCAAGACTAAAAGAAACACACAAACTACAGAGAAAATTTGCAAAAGACCCATAACTTTCACTGTTGCTTACCAAAGTGTCTGAAATAGAGTAACACAAGCAGTTAGAATTCATAATACACAATAGTTTAGATAAGGAAATTAATAGAAGTACAGTGTCTTATGAAATAATTTTGTAAGTACAGTACTGTTCAGTATTTATTAGGTTTTGTAAACACCAGAGGCCATTATCATTGTAAAACTGAACTTAGCCATCGCATAGCGGTAAATGGTGTTAAATTTTTAACATCATAAAACTGTCATGGACCTTTCCGTACTTCTCGTATTTGTCCGGCATTCATTCTGATTAATTACACAGTTTAGGTTAGGTTAGCCTTACAGGTATGTTGTTTAATAATCAGAAATAAATTGGGGTGTTTAATCTTCATGTATACAATAGTAATTCAAAATTATGCATAGTAATAAAATGTACCAACCTAACCTGGCCAATCCATGGAATATCAATGAATTTATCACAGTATTATCTTTATGAATATTATGGTAATTCAGTAATGGAACACAGTTATGTAAATACGGGTGCAGTACTGTGGGAGGTTTTATACTCGAGTTCAATGCTCTATGATTGTTAATGTGTTTCAGATCACCATGAATAAGTGAGAGAATACTGTATCTTGTTATGCCTGCAGGGTTCAGCAGTATGTGGGTGTGGTTGAACATGCTGTGTTTGATGAATCCAGTACACCAGCACGACGGATCATTGTGTCTACTGCCCAGAATGTATTAGCTGCACTTTCACTTAAGAATGGTATGGAAATAATGTTATATAGTTAATACTTTTCTGTTTTGGTCAAGAGAAATGATCTGCCAGGAAACTACAGTATCATATGAAAATAATATACCCAAAATTGACTCTATTTGTACGCTATATTTCTCCCTAAATTATAAAAATATAATTGACAAAAGGCCAATGGAAGGATAATTTTGCTTGAGGTAACTGTGTCTCCTTGTCATACTTATACTTGTGGCAGGGGCAGGAGTGGTATCAAGTACAGGCAATCCCCAACATACGACTGGGTTAGGGGCCCAAATCCAGGTTGTAAGTCCAAATTGCGAAAATAATTCATAGAAAATCTAAAATGGGTGTCTCTTTTTCTTCTCAGAACCACAAAACTCTCACTTTTAAGCTTGCCAGCCATTTTAAAGGGAATTACAAAAAAAAAATTGTCAGTACACAGTGCAATCACTAACGTCGGGACTCGAAAATACATAATTTAAAATTTTTTTGGTACGACTGGGGCGGTCCTATGTCCGGGTGGTCGTAAGTCAAGGAGTACCTGTACTGTACAGTAATTTGTAACTGCTCTTATTATATTTTTATTGCTTTTAATATTATAGTATTTGATGAATTATTTTGAAAAGCTACAAGAATCATTTTATACACTAAGAGTTACTGTACCATTATTTTAATCTGACAGGTGACATAACATGGCGTCATGTTTTGGAGACTTCAGATTCAGGAAAAATTGACATTCTGGTTAGTGAGGGGCCACAGGTGACTTCTGTGGCAGGTAATCTGTTGCGAAGCTGGGATGTCATCTCTGCTGCTCTCATTGAAGAGATCCAGTTAGATCATAACCCAGTGGCTGGGTAAGTTGGTCATATTAACCTGAAATGATCTTATGGTGCAAATACTTTTGAACAGTTGATTGTATCTTGAACTGAGTACACCATGGCATTGTTTATGATCTGGGCTTTGAATAATGTTCCAGTGTATTGCTGCGTGCAGTAAGTCTCACTGATAATGAGGTGGTTCTGGCTGAGTTGGTTGCTGGATCTGTTATTGTCACAACACTAGACCGATCATCTGGAGCTGCCCTGGACCATGGGACAGTAGCAGCACCTTGGCTGGATGCGGATACCAAGTAAGATCTTTTCCCAGCTTTATAACTGCAGTTGTAAATTAATATTTGTGCTGTGGTCTCTTAATTTTTAGTGGTTTTATGTATTGTATTATGTATTTATGGTTCCCTTTTTCTAAAATTTGACCAGTACAGTAAAGGTGATGTAGTTTTGACCAGTGTTTATCCCTAGGAATGCTTGAACATTATTACATTACAGACAAATAACATTGATGTACAGTATTAACTTTTGTCTTGTATTTTTTTATAGGTGTACTTCCATAGAGAAGACTCTAGTGTGTGTGGAGCTGTCTCTAGGCTTAATATTTACACTACCACTGACCACTGCATCACCGGACTTTACATCACGGCCTCTAGCTTCTGTTTTCCTGGAGAATCCTGGCACTAACCCCCAAGTAGCTCTGCAGAAGATACCAGGATCTAAGAGCCATTTGATTATCCAGGTATGAATGGCATTACTGTACATGTATTATCAATAAATATCCTTTACTTTTTTATGCTTGATAACACTGGAGTGCATACATAACTTTATTTTAATTGGATTTATGAATATTTGCAGAGTATAAACTTTATTGTATTTATTTAAGGACTCTAGAATTTCTATGCTGGAAGCCTGGGACTCCAGGAAATTTTAGCCTTGGGTCCCAGACTCTTCAAAGGTTTAGGCTGTCAAAATCCTTGATCACACCATGAACCATATATATATCAAATACATTTTATGAAGCCCCCTGAATTGATGTATGTTAGTGTTTGTATTTTGTACAGTACAGTACAGAGGGTCCCCGGGCTACGAACGGGTTCCATTCCTGAGGATGTTCTTAAGTTGGATTTGTACATAACGCGGAACACATGCTATGTGCTATATACATCTAAAATCACTTAATATAAGACAAAAAAAGAAATAGAATAACAAAATACTGTACAGTAAATGAAAGTAAAATCTAAGTCACCAGGTAAATATAACACAGTGGTCCCTCAGTTATCGAAATCTCGGTTAACGAATTACCTCCCATAAGGATCTTCAATTCGGTTAATGAATAAAACTTTGATTAATGAAATCCTTACAAAAAACACGTTTTGTTGTGAGCATCAGCAGATCAGTTGATGGGCTAGTCTGCCAATTCAGTAATCTGTTCTATGTTTACATTCGTTTCCAGTGGAGTAAATATCAAGAAAGTTGTGCTCTTTAATATGTTTAGCATTTTTTATATTAAAATTATTAGTCATTTTAAAATTTAGTTAACATATTGATAATATATGCAGTACAGGGAACTAGTTTTTTGTGCACCCATCAGCTGTTTGACTCAGCCACCAGGCGACAGTTTGGCTTTGTTGACAGTAGAGTGAACATCGATTTTGTTGGTGTCTTGAATATTTTTGCATTTTTACATTAAACTTATTGGTCTTTCTGAAATTTAGTTAACATATTGATAATACAATATACTGTATAGCGCAGTGCAGTGTTGATTTAAATAAAATAATCTTGAATTACACTTAGTGAACTTAAAATTGTATTGGTAAAATTTCTGCATTAAGCATGGGTCCCCTGAAAGGTGATTTCTCCTCTATCCCCACTTCCTTCTCTTCTCCCTTCTTCACCCCCACTTCTAATTCCCATCATCATCTACCAGGAACCTTCTACATACACACCTCAAAGTAAGTGTACTTTACTGCATTTTTTTTTACTTTGTATGTACTTTTCTGTGAGCTGGAACCAATTACCCAATATCCCATTGAAACAGTGGATTCGGTTAGCGAACGACTTTGGAACGAATTGTGTTAATTAACTGAGGGACCACTGTACTGCAAATTTAAAGTTTAACCCCGTTCGTAACGGCGGACTCTTGTAAGTTGCGGACACCTGTACTGTACTGTACAGTACTTTGAGAATGTACATACACTAAAAACCCCACAATTCAAAATCACTCATAATTCATAATATTTGCTGTTACGAAATACATGGTATTTGTAATATTTGGTAAAAGTTCTAAATAATATGTAGTGTAGTATTTGGTAAAATTTCAGATTATGAGAGACATTTACGAATACAGTCAACCCTCGCTTTACGCGGTCCCACTTTACACGCTTCTATGTTTATGCGGTACCCTGCCGAACACGGAATGCTCACTTTCCGCGGTGTGTGTACCCTTTTACGCAGAGAGCAGCGCGAGCAGGGTGCGCACAAGGTCGCCCAGTCATCAAAACATTACCGAGTTCTTCACCCGCCACCCACCACAGCCGGCCCAAGTCAGTGATAGTGATAATGATAGTGAGGATATGGACTTATATGGACTTTGAGGGGTTTGACAAAGAGGCCCTGCAAACCTCTGTGGTGGATAGTGATACAATTGATACAAGTGATACAGGTGAGGCCCAATAATCTGCCCTCTGCCTCGGAACCAACCCCCCATCCCCGTGTGCCCAGCCATCTTTTCTACTAATGTAAGTGTTAAAAAACCTAATATTATTGATATTTCTCTTAATTATTAATTGTGCGTGCATACCATCATAAAATTAAGAAGTTATTTTTACTACAGCGTAGGTATTGTGTCTGAAAAAGTGGAGTTTGGGGATCGGCCCGGTCTCTATTTCAATTAATCCCATATGTTATGTTGTTCACTTTACGCGGGCCGCCGTGGGTTCAATTGACCGCGTAAAGTGAGGGTTCACTGTATACATTATATGATGCACATGTCGCCAAAGAATGTGACCGCCCGCTTCAGCGTAAACAAGTACCTTACTGTTATGTACATGTCATGAATGTCAGTGATGGTCAGTTCACATTGGTCAGTCGTGGAATGTACATCTATGGTCGACTGCACAAGCATTTTCCATCATTGCCTAGTACTTGAGCTATTATGTCTAATAACCCTAAATATGGTATTTTACTTTGAAACATTTAAATTTTGATGGGGCAGATAACAGAAAAGTAGTGTTATTTTGTTTTTGTTTTCCTTCGGGAGGTGCCCCTCCTATTTTGTATATTTTGTAAAATCTCATAATTCGTAAGGGCAAGAGCTCCTATTATTTATAATTATGTTTTTTTTTTTACTGTACTCTTTTTCAATGACTAAGAACCCAATGTAGATTCCATTAGTTTCTTGATGGGGTAAAGATGTTTTAATGCAGTACTGCGGACTTAAATTTTTATTTTTACAGGTTGCTGGAGCTAGAAAGCTGGTTCATGTACATGAGAATGGATTGCACTTTGTGCAGGATTTGACTGGAACCAAGGCATCCTCTATAACAGAAGGGGTGCTGTATACTATAACCCAAACAGGAAGGGTGAGACATGAATGTTTATTGATATTTCTTAGGGATTGCAGTATTTCATCTATTCAGAGGTTGAGCTGTAAAGATTGACTAAAGTGGAAATCTGCAGTGCCAGTATAAAACCATTCATGTGTAAATAAGAATGACATCACAGTCCTTATTGACAATCTGTGTGGTAAGCAGAGCCTTAAAACCAGCCAGCAGTTTACTTATCAGTTTTAACAATATTACTCAACAAATGATTGATGCTTTTAAGTTTATTGCAGATTTAACCTCATAATAGTCATTAATGTTGTGCTAATCTTTGCTGTAGTGGCACTATATTCCTCAGTATTATATGTTTCACTTTTTAGTTTTTAATGGCATTGTTTTATATGTGTAATTAACCAAATGCATTTTTTCAGCTGGTGACAATTGAAGCGGTCGAGTTAGAGTCCGGTAATGAACTAGGAGAGCAGGGTGTGGTGGTGGAGCTGCCATTCCAGTCTGGCACTGTCCTCTCACTTGCTGTATATCGCTTTGAGAGACGAGATGGAGGCATGGCACTCAGAGCATTTGTCACTTGCTCAGATCATGCTCTTCACCTTATCAGCAGTGCAGGTATGTCAGGTAAAAGTTATCACTGTAAATTTTGAGAAATTTTTATATTCTAGCTACTTAGCATTTAGGAAGTCATTGTCTTTGTTATTTCCTTTTTTTTTCAGTAAATTATCTGAATTGGTCATTATCAATTTTTTAATGAGACTAACTAATCATCATCATCATGGAAGTTTGCTTTAGGCACAGTGGCCATGTTCAACTGATGTTCATTTTCCTTGCATTCCATTTTTGTACATGTGGGGTCAGAGTAGGGAATATTTAGATGCTGGTTAAGAGCTAATTTTTGTATAAATTTTAAGGAGTTGTGTGGTCAAGAGAAGAAGCTTTAGCATCAGTGATTGCAGTTGAAGCTGTTGACCTTCCTGTGGATGGGGCAAACATAAATTACCACGAGCAACTGCCGCCTCGTACAGGTAAGGTCTTACTTTTCTTCTGTTTCTTCAAGTGGACTTAACTATTTTACCATGGTTTAGCAGAACAGTTCAAAGCAGATAATCAAACAACATACACCTTGGAATGATTATTTTTCTCTCTCAACTCTGGTGCATATTATTCATAAATAGTAATTACAGTACAAGGTATAATGTAAATTTTGCCTTCAACCACTCACTACCTTTCACTTTTTTATTATTATCATCCCTTTGTTCGGTTAAGAATAAGATAAAATGTTGTTCCTTTTATTACAAATGTGAGGATGTTTGATCTTCCCGGTTGTGTGTTGGTCTTTTGCTCAGAGGCTGCTGAAAGATGTGATTTTTAAGTCTTTATGTGGTATACATTATAGTTATTCTTGTGTAAATGTGGTGTATACCGTAGTTATTCTTATGTAAATGCATTTAATGATGTTTTCACTGTTTTATTAATACTGTACAGGTAGACATAAATTTTACTTTTGCACATATTGAAAGATTAATTCTCTCTAGTGTCTGCACCAACTTTTTGTGAAAATTCAAGTAAGTTCATATGTTTTTTTTTATGTATTTGGAAAAAGCAATATTTTGTACATCTTAAAATTTTTGTGTAATTTGGTTTCTTTATGTGCAGCAAAATAGGCTTGATAAGTAGAGTATAACTAGATTTAGCTGCTGTGGTAATTATACTCATGCATTTTATTTATTTATTTACAAGAGCCACATCCTTTCTTACGTGAAACTCTACCTTCATGTGTAGGATGGGGCTACACCGTCCTGTTTATCATACCTTCACGTGTAGGATGGGGCTACACCGTCCTGTTTATCATACCTTCACGTGTAGGATGGGGCTACACCGTCCTGTTTATCATACCTTCACGTGTAGGATGGGGCTACACCGTCCTGTTTATCATTATTAGACAAAATACAATCTAGAAGTTATTTGTTTCCTTAGTGACTGGTTCCTTACTTTCTCTTTACAACTTCTTTGTCACATGATCTGTTTCTCACTTTATCTCTTTTACCATGTTTTCTATGATCACACAGTGTATCGTCTCTCCTTTCACCTCTCTTTGTAATTCACATCATGCATCCAAAGGCCATGCTTCACACCTACAGTATATAGTAATGTAGATTCAGTGATTTTGCTCTTTGTCCCTTAACTTTGTTTCTTTTCACACCATCCTCTCCCTCTCTCTCTGTACATATATCAATTCTCTATTACTGTACTGTCATACTTTCTACTACAGCACTACTCTTTGATTCATTTCACTTGTCATTTCTTTTCCTACCTAATCCACCCCTGGGGGATATCTGAAACACCTGACCTCCATTTTCTTGCCTCTCAAACTGGCTTCTTTTTTTTTCTCCGTCTTCCTCTCTTGTTATTTTAATTATTTTATTATACAGTATTCTTATCTAAATACTGTACTGTATTGCTTTATTATTAACACAGTTTATAAAAAGTGTAAAAAATATTTGAGAATGTTGGACAAGTATTTAGTTAGGATTAGTGGAGGCGAGGACACTGGCACTGACACTTGAATTCCACATCTGGATTGAAACTCCTGTTGAACCACAAAGTTGATTGAGGTGGTGAGAGTGATGGAGCAGCAGTTGTTAAAAAAAATACTGTATGGCATTATTTTGGATAGAAGTTACTGTTGTGTCATAGTGTAGTTGATTACCGTAACTTGATACAGTATTAAGTTAGTGTTGTACAATAATCCCAGTTGGTGCTATTGTGTACAGCAAATAAAATTATTGGGTTATGTGACAGTTGTGTTAGTAGCTCAACAACAGAGTATGTAGTTTGTAGCTTTTTTAGGGAAATTGTATGAAAGTATGAATAAACATTAAATTTTATGTATTCTTTATAAGAGAAATTATATTATACAGTAATACATTCTGTGGAGATTAATGCACCTTTTTACCTCAAGCAGATCTTTGGATGAGTGTTTTAACTGCTGAACATATCTAAATTTTTTTTATTCCAAACAAGAAACAAATATTGAATGAATGACTCGGAAATACATAACGGGTTCTCGGGTTTTAGACCTAATGAATCGTGTTATTTCGCAGGCTTGGTTGGCAGCCTCGTGCACCGTGTCAGGACCCAGTGCACTCAGATTGCTCACTGGTTCAGCTCATTGGTTGGAAGTACAGACTCCTTTGAGGCAGCCCTTCATGCCCTGAAACGGGATGAACTGAACCTCAGGAAGTTGCTTGTGGTGGCTACAGGCAGTGGGAAGGTGAGTCTTGTATGCCTCTATAATATTCATCACTTCTCACACATCTGTATAGTATATTTATTTATTGCCCCATTCATCTTACAATATTTTTATTTAGTTACCCCATTCACTAACTGCAGGAGCAGAATAATGCCTGTATAATCTTCCCTAAACACTTATTTCATAATTCAGTTAAGATCAGCAAGATGAAATTAAATAGTAGAATGGGGAGTGATTATGCAAATGAGGTGAACAATGGTTAGGAATCATTTTGGGTTTTGATTTTAGTGGTTGGTGAAAATTAAGTAAAAATAATTCTTTCAGATCCTGGGTGTTGACAGCTGGAATGGGGATGTGGTGTGGAGCATATATGTGGCTCATCTGGCTCCTCTTCAAGGCAACAAGCTGTTACTCTATTCCCAGCGCACTTCAGCACATTTTCCTCTCCACCCACAGTGTGTTGTGGTTGGGAGACACAGGGTATGTTAACTCCTCCTTTGTTGCTGTATGAGTTTTAGCTAATACAAATGTTTATCTGGTTTGCGGTGTTTAAAGATAATTTCCCTTTTTTTAATTGAGGATAAAAAAAATGATTATCTATATTAATAAATAAATTTTATTTGCTTTGTAGTTTGGGCTGTTTTAAGAAATCTCAAAATGTGTGTATGCAGTACAGTACATTAATACTGTAGGCATGTTAATTTCTTTAGAATATTTTTTGTGACTAACATTTTCATTGCAGGTGACAGGTGAAGGCCTTCTTGTTGTGTTTAATCCCATCTCTGGCACAGCAATTGGAGATAGGGGAGGAGTCATCCCTCTGGGCTACCAACTTACTCAAGCATTACCTATGCATCATGCCGATGAACAGTACCTCAAGGTTAGTAGCAGTAGGCAATGAAGTATCTGACACAAAATATTGTGTATGAAGGAAGTTTAGGGCTATAAAAGTAGTTTGGAACTGCAGTACTAGGGAATTATAACGACTTAGTAAATGACGTGAGAAACTGCAGTGGGAATGATAAATATTTGTTAGACATATTTGTGTTGAGTGTGAGTTGTAGATGACATAAATTTTTTATAACTGGTATTTGTTGACAAGTATACAGGATTGAGAGAAGATAAGAAATTTCAGAGGTTCACAGACTGTTAAACATGATGTTGATGTTGTCTGCTTAATAAAGGGTAAATAAATATTTATGTAGTGTCCAATTTCAGAGAAACTCTAGGTGTAATTTTTATCATTCAGTAAAGCTACTGTTAGTACAGTTTATGGTCTGCAGTGATTTAAGCAAGGCTAATGATTTTTATCATAGGTGAAGAATCCCATGAAAATTATATTAATATGCTTTTGTGATTTGTCATATAATTTATATAAATTAAATTGTAGTGAAAAAATAGTTCCATTTTAATGTATCTTTAATGTGAGTCAGGAGGTGTAGTTGCTCTTAGGGTGACCTGGAGACAGTTATAGCTATGCCTCTTATGTCTCATCTGACTGACTGTATTCTTTGTGGAGTTTTGGGTAACAGATTTTGTAATGTTTGTATTTCCAGCCTTTGATGTTGGTGGACACAGCACTCATCCCCCACATGTTCCCATCCAGTGGAGAAAAAGTTGTATTAGAGCACAAAGACACCATCTTCCTTCATTTGACTCGACCTGGTAGTAGTGTCCTTACAGGATACTCTTTAAGATTTTCTCAACCAGGGGTAAGTATTTAGGTGGTTTTGTGTCTTAGTAGAATAGATATGATTTATTTACAGTGAGCATATGTATAAGAATGGCTGGGATGACATTATGCTATGCTAATCAGATGTCAACATATTTATCAAAATCTATCTGCACTGCACACATGTATGAGTATACAACATGCCCTTAAAATTTGCGGGGTTTAGGTTCTCAAAATGGCCACGTATGTACAGTATATGTGTGTGTGTGTGTGTGTCTACACGCACACATGCACACACACACACACACACACACACACACACACACACACACACTACAGGTAAAAGAAATTACTGTCTATAGAACGAATGGCTCCCTGTCCTGGCCGCGAAAATGCCAGCAACTTTAAAACTACCCTTAGACATCCTTGGGTACATCCAGGGTGTTGTCCGCGAATAATCAAGGTCCACGAATTGTCAGGGCATATTGTATATTAACCCTTGTGTTGTTATCAATGGGTTTTAAACACTGTCATAAGCTTACTAGTTTTAAAATGTAGGATTCTGACAAAATGTATCTAATATTGAACATTTTGTGTGTTCTTTATTAGTTTATTATTATTGGATTTTATTTTTTGAAACATAGTCTGTTTGAAATAATTATTTGATATCATTACAGGCACTAACCCTTACAGAAGTGTGGACAGTCTCTTTAGGAGGTGGACCAATTACAGGTGTGTATGGAAAACTTGCCTCAGAGAAGGTACATTCCCCTGGAAGAGTTTTGGCTGACCGCTCTGTGCTCTACAAATATGTCAATCCCAACCTGGCTGTTGTCACCACTCAAGGTTATGACCATGTTAACAAAAGTAAGTGAAATACTTGAAAGTCTTGTAGTTGCAGATAAATGTACTATTTATATTTGTTAACTGTGTAAATTTTTGCTTATTTACGTTTCAAAACAAAATGTATGAGATGAAAATATCCAGAACTATGAATAATGTAATGCAGCTGGTGTATGATTTGAAGAAGTTCTTAGTGTAGAAATTTAGTAAGTGCAGTATATTGTTATGCCCCATTGTATATTATCTCATGCAAAACTTTACTTAGTGGTAACTCAGAGGCTTTGAAGACTTAACTTATTTCATCACCAACATTTGTTTTGATTTATGGGTGCTGTTTGGGGCTTATGATATTGACTGATGATACATTTGTTTATGTATTTACAGACACATTGACTTTGTATTTGGTGGATACAGTCACTGGTGCAGTCATTGAGTCTGTCTCCCACAAGAAAGTGTCAGGACCAATTCATATTATTCATTCAGAAAACTGGGTTGTATATACCTGTTTCAATGATAAATACAGACGTTTTGAGGTAAGCAGTATTATTTTTATGCGCAGTATTTGTGTTGATAGGCATGGGAACAGGTTAACTGGTTGGGGATTGGAACTAGAGCTTAGTTATATAGCATTGTTCCACTAAAGTGCTTTTGAGTATTGTGTGTAAAAAATGCATTGATGATTACAGAAGACTCGCATTGTAATCTGCCTTGGTCATGAAAAAAATTCCTATGTAAATTATATTTTTTCCTTTATTTTTTGCAGGTAACTTCTTTGGAGCTTTTTGAAGGCTTAAGTCAAGTTAATGCTACAGCTTTTTCATCATTTGGAGGTCGAGCAACTCCACCAATCTTAGAGCGTCAGGCTTATATTTTGCCAATTGGGGTACAGGCTACAGCACATACGACAACAGAGAAGGGCATCACAACCAAGTTTATTTTGTTTGCTCTGCAGTCTGGAAATGTTATACAGGTATGTGTACAGTACTGTATAGTGTTTCTATGCCGATGTCATAGATTTGGTATTACAGTTAAATTACCTTCTATTTGAGTATTTAAAAGAGTATATCACAATTCATAGATAATTCCTTTTATTAAATTAATTGTAATTTCTCATTCTCAAAAAAATTATTCATAATCTTTGTTCCTCTGTATCCAAGCTTCAGGAGGACTTGCCTGTTAGTATTCCTTTTCTAGTCTCTAACTTTAGAATAAATGAGGTTGGTTTCTCATTATAATCCAATAACTGACAGTTTTTCACTTTGTGTATCTTATTCCATTGTCCTTTCCAGTGCACCATTTTCAGACAGTCGTAAGTTCACAGGTGATTGTTTATCATTACTAAATTGAAATCACAAATTACTTTTCTCCAGATGTCAAAATGGTTACTTGATCCCCGCCGTCCCATGACTGGTGGTCCACGTGAAGAGGGTCTCATGCCATACATGCCAGAACTACGAATTTCACCTCATGAGATGATTACCTACAATCATACCCTCCCTCGTATCTCAGCTATCCATACTGCACCTACTGGATTGGAATCTGCATGCTTGGTCCTTGTCTGTGGCCTAGGTGAGTGTGCTGTTTGGCATCTTTCTCTATGAAAGGTAACATCTTTATATTAGTTTCTGACCCTTTACTTTTGCTACTTCATGGGCCAATATAATTTCTAACAAGTTGCAATTAATTATGAGAGTGGAAAGATTCATTTGTATAAAAATTTAGGAGGCAGGAAAAACAATAAGAAATAAAGGTTATAGGTATAAGTAGAATGAGTAGATTAAAGGATAGCAAGTTGGTGAAGTGTCTTGAGTAGATGAGTTGGCTATGAAAAAAAGGTATAATTTGATATGAAATAAAAAAAAATGACTATTGGAATTGAAATATAAGTGAAATCTTGGAATAGAGTGTGAAGGTTACATCAGAGTATCATATACATACCAGGAGGGGAGGGGGCTAAATATGAAAGTAATATTTTGAATGCCAAATTTGAGGATTTGTATTTTTTATTGCAGACTTGTTCTACACCCGCGTTTTCCCAAGCAAGATGTTTGATGTATTAAAAGATGATTTCGACCACTACCTGATAGGTGGGGCTCTTCTGGCACTAGTTGCTGCTGCTCTAATCACAAGGAAGTTAGCTCAGAAAAAAGCACTCAGGCAAGCTTGGAAGTAACATTTATCCCTTTGATTGAAAGGAAAGTGTAAACAGCACATATAATAAATGAACTGGTCAAAATGTATAAATTCAAGAGGAGTGGAGTTTCTCTTGTGCCACATCTTTAACATAAACTTCAAGTCCTCCCAGGTGTCAATGTTGTATGTGTTAAGAAAGTATCAGGCATTTGTGAATATTCAAGAACCTTTAATAGTTTGTGGTGAAACTGTGTGTATATACATTTAAAACAATGATAATAATGTGTACAGTATAGTGATGTGATACAGTCATTGCTGGTATGTACTAAGCTTAGCAAGTCTTTAAGAGCTTTTAATAGTCGTGTTTTGAAAGGTGGCAAATTTCTCAATGACTTATATGGGTAAGTACTCGTTTGAGCCATTTTATAAATAAGTGGGTTGATGCATCAGTGTTTTAGTTACCAAAATTATATTTGAGTTACAGCTAATTGTGTACATAATGGATGTTGCTGTCCTGTTGTTACCGTTTGTATATCTGTTGGTAATAAGTTAAAATTTTTGTAAATATTTTCAGTGCTTAATTATAAATGGTTCTGTGTTAAGCATAAAAATTGAAGTAGAGTATTGCCACTAGCCCACTACAGAACAAGAACAGCTGGCATAAGAGATGTTAATTGTACACCCAAGGTGGTGTTAAGTTATGATGCAAATATTGTACTGTACTGTATATTGTTGGTATAATGTGTCCTGAATCTGTTGTTTATGTTTGTTATTTGCTGATTAGGAGAATATCTGGTAGTAGAAAATTATTTTAATAAGCTGAGTATTTATGGGTTGACTTTGCCTTTGAAATAGTCTTTTGAAGTAGAATAAATGATACCCACAGCAGGATTTTGTATTGATGTTATTTTAACCTTTGAGGTTTCCTTTTATCATTGTACCTCTGGTAATGATACTGACAACTGTCATCTTAAGTGAATATATATAGTATATATACACACAGTATATATCTTCTTGTCTAAGGAAGTTTTTCTTTTTTAGACTGAACAGGAATCTACCTCTCACTTTATGTAATTAATTCTGTATCCCACATTGAAGGAGCAACAGCTCATGGAGGACTTTCCTTAAGATTAGTTAGTTGTCATTTCCACACCGCAAACTTTGAACAGACAAATAATGGAAGCACTAAATGAAGAACAAAGTTATTAAACTATAATATGAAACTCAACTACTGGCACTTGAAGAAATGAGAATGAAGGTTGTTATCGGGTATACACAAGGGTGAAACTAAACTAATGATACACTGAGAAAGACAGAAAAGTAGGTGTAAGAGTAGTAGTATTAATGGTGAGAAGATAAGAAAAGTTAATATGCTGTGTGAAATTATATTTTTAAGAAAAGAACCACTTGTAGGAAATATGGTGATTGTGTCATCCATTGTAATGCTCTATTGGGCTATGAATGAACTGGTCTACTGTGTATTTCATCAAATTTGGTTAATATTTACGTTACAACACAAATACTCATGAATCTACCAAATCATGGGACCAATAGTGTGGTACAATTTTTAATTTGTTGGAACAGTACATGAAGTGTACAGTATGATTACCTGTCATAATTGAACCATTGTACATGTATGTTTTAAACAATTAAGTTTTTGGTAACACCTCACCCAATTTGGTTTATACAATACTGTACTTGTATTTGAAATGTACAGTAGAGGTATTGTTTATAGTAACTTGCACAAGTTTACCATAAAACTAGCTGGTCTTCCAACAGCGTTTAAAAAATAATTTTAATATACAGTAAACTAAAAATTTCACACTGAAAATAAGAAATTTCCAATATTCTCTTCTAAATACTGTATTGAAAGCATAAATTAATTCACAGCCATGTAGTGGATGATGTGCATGATTGTATTTGTGTACCTAATGGCTTTACTGTAACTTTTATTGGCTGCCATGTGAACAGCTGCACTGCAGGTCATCATTCATATAATGTCTCTTTTATTGTTTTAATTTCAATGTGCATAGTTGTTGATGGAGCATTTTAAATAAGAGATTTATTTTAACATGTGTTAGTGACACTAAGTCAATCTCATTTTATGCTTTTAATATTGTTATTTTCCGTTTATATTTTATTATTTCTATAACTTAATCCTCTTTTCTAGCTTTAAACTTGCCCTTTCTTCCTTGTGTGTGCTGTACTGTCATTGCCAGTCTGTATTCTTTTCTCACATTCCCATTTCTAAGTGCAAGCAGATGCCATACCTTTCTCCAGTTTTATAGTCAAACCAGTGTAAATTATTCTTTAAGATACCAGTAATGGCTCAAGTATTGTTGCTGAGATGCAGATACAGTGATGGCCAAAAATTTTTGGAAATGGATCTGAATGTTGAATCCCATGCTGAATATAGGAAGAAGGAATTTTTGTAAAGAAAAATGATCAGTACCAGGTAGACAATGAGCCATGGATGGAGTTATCCTTTATGCCATTTCATTGAAGAACTCTCAGCACTAAGGAAGGCCTCACCCAGCAGTGAACTGATATGAGTGGGAAATTTATATTACAAGTATAAATTAGGTAATGTTTAAAGTGATTTGTATTATTATTTTTCCTTGATGCATTAAAGATTTGGGAAGAACATGTATACATATTATTTATGTAAATATGAAATAGGAGTTATTCCTGTAGTGGGGTATTTTATTTATACTGTACATGTACTGTTATCCTTCCTAGAGATACTAAAATATCGATGGTAATTCAACTAAGGGTTTACTGCCATTATTTTTTGTTGTGTGTGTTAGCTATTCATGTGTGTGACTTACATAAGAACCTGTAAATATTTTATCTCCTATATGAATTTTGTGATGGATGCTATTTGTTTAGACATGACCTAAGAATACCCGAAGACATTTTCTCTGAAACACTTTTATTGACTGTGTGTGTGAATCTTTTAATGGACATGTTTCCTCTGTATAACTGGGTCTGTTTCCTGGGTTTGGACTTTTGAAAGGTTCTGATTGATTGTTGACTGAGAAGTTTCCACACCAAGAAATTTATAGACCACAAGATTTCATTCATATATTGATCAAACATTTAATCTGACAGTAAAAGAAGTTTTATACTCATCATCATCAACGTTTTATGGTCATTTTCCACACTTATATGGGTTTGCCGTAAATACCCGATGGCAGCTCTCCATACTAATTACCCAATTATATATGACAGTGAAGGAAAGTTTATACTATATATAGAAGTGAATTTGTTCTGGTAGATGTTGCCTATTGGGTACTTACATTTTTCTTGGACTGTGTGATAGTGTCTGTTAGTACATATATGTCAAACATGACTGAGAAGTATACCAGCAGGTATATTGTGCATTATATGATCTTTATTCATTTTGTAAATATAAGTGTGCTTTAATTTTTTTTAAGGACACTAAAGTGAATGCAGTCATAAGAGGAAGTTCATATACTGTACCATGGAATGTAATGTATTTGATTTAGTAGAGAGAAAACTGTAAAGGGTGCAGTATGACTAAGACAATCTGACACTATGGATGCATTAAATGATATTTTTCTTCAAGATGAGTATATACCTGATTGGCATCATAATTTGCAGATGTATAAAATTATCCAGCTGGAGAAATTAACAGTATAATTTTGGCTTGCCAGAATTTGCACAGTAAGAAATAATGGTAACAAAAAATATTGGTTATAATATTGCTGACAAAATACTGTAGGTGTTGGTGAGCTGGGATCGGAGTGATATCCAAAAAATATGAATTTTTTTTAATAATTTGGGAGATTCTCTATAAACTTACATGAAGTAGAAATTAAGAAAAGTAGAATCTATGTGGGAGAAAAATCACATAATGAATATATGTACAAATGATGAAAAAATGACAGAATGCTGCTGTAAATTTATATAAAATGTTCATTATCCAAGAGTTAAAGTGAAGTAGTTAAGTGTTACATTCATGATCTCAAATAGGCTTCACAAAGTCAGACTCATTTGAATGATGTAATGCAACTGTTTTATAAGAGTACATGCAGAATGGTTATTAAATGGTATTGTGGTGTTACTTTGGCAATATATAAAATAGGAAAAGTTCTTCACTGTTTGGGATTATCCTACCATGAAAATATTGATACAGTATATTGGTGTCTTATGCTTTGATAAATATTATGGCCTCTGTTACTGAATGCATATTGCCTATAACTGTTTTCCATTTTTGAGATATAAATAATCTATGCAATGGAGAGGAAAAATTACACTTGCACTGTGTTTTCTGATCTTAAGGTTAGCAATATATAAGCCGTACAGTATAAGGATATTAGCATATGTGTTTATTCACTTAAACAATTGTTGATAATTTTTTACAATGCAGTATGCAGGAGAATGGGACATACAGAATGGAACTACAGTAATGTGACTGCTAAACAAAAATGTTGAATACAGTAAAAGATTTCCTTATTACAGTGCAGTGCTGAAAATGTAAAGTAGGTCCCATAGGCTTGAGATCTTGTTAGGGACAGTATGAATACTGTATACATGCAACACACTGAATGCTACTACATTGTACAGTACTCAAGGAGGCAATGTGGTTGGCACTACACGACTGCCTTCATGTCCCCAGCTACAGTTAGATACACTTTGTTGACAATATAGATGAGACACGGCAGTGATCCTCGTGGGATGCTCTTAAGGAAAAAAAATTTTTTTTTGTTCGAGAACCCCGAATGATTACTACAGTATTGTATATTTTAGGATGTGCAATAAACAGGAACCTAAAAATCATAAATGTTCTTTATAATGATCAAACTTTATTACTACTGATTTTGATTTATTATTTTTTATTTATTTTTTATTTTGGTTTTTAGGTTTATTGCATGTTCTAAAATATAATACACTAATAATTTAGGGTTGTCAAATAAAAAAAAATTACCTTATTGTCATTGGTAAACTAGTCATAGCTGTTACTGGCTCCTCAGACTTGTAACTATTACTGGTTCTATGGCTACTGCAATTTTTGTTTGGTCAAATTATCTTTCGTATTAAAGTTGAAGGTTAATGTGATAACTAGTTTATGAGTTAGTTTTTATTATCTGAGGGCGAATCACCAGTAGTAAATGCTTATGCGTTGTATGCAAATATAAAACAAATTAAAAAAAAATAATTACAGAATAAATTACAAAAATTACAACAGTTGACACTGAACTCTGGATCAGCATTTTCCAAGCCACCTATGGCAGAAATATAGAACTTAATTTATATTTTTGTTTTTCTTTTGTATTCGTCTTGTTACTGGGAATTAATAAGATAAACTGTTTTAAGAGTTCAGTAATACAGAGTATAATCCAAATGTAAATAGCCAATAGAAAAAAATAAACCCACAGTATGTGTGAAATTATTAATATGAAAAGAAATTCATTATCCAGACGAAATTATGAAAATATACCAAACTGTCTAACCAGTTAAGTACCGATATATATATATATATATATATATATATATATATATATATATATATATATATATATATATATATATATATATATATATATATATATATAATATATATATATATAAACGTTTCATAATGTTTGCAATACATTATGTTGACCTTGATTACTTAATAAACTACTAGTTTAACAATACTGTACCTTGAAAAACTTTTGATCTTTTTCTTCATTTTTGTATTTATAGTTCTTTATTATTAAAATTATTATTATTATTATTACAGTTACTGTATTATTATCATTATTTTATTTTTGTTTTTTTATCATTATTTTATTTTTGTTTTTTTATCATAAATTTCATCATCATCATCATCATCATCATCATTATTATTATTATTATTACTACTACATTTTCGCCCCCCAGGCCCCGATGTGGGTCAGTGACCTGTGATAGGTAAAAAAAAAAAAAAAAAAAAAAAAATATATATATATATATATATATATATATATATATATATATATATATATATATATATATATATATATATATATATATATATATATATATATATATATATATATATATATATATATATATATATAATTTTTGAGAATCTAGGTCATGAGTCTTGGAGGAGCCGTTGTACCTCCCACAAACATATTTTGCCATATAGTAATAAGGTCGAGGGGTGAGGATCAGAGTGGGTTATGAGGTGCCACTGTTCCCTGTTAACAAGGGCGGCGCGGATCACGGCCCGCACCCCTTGTTACTCTAACTGGGTCTTTTGATCTGGGAGATGGAAGGAAATCAAGACGCGATAGTTGCAGTCGTCTCCTAAGATTCTCTGCTATTGTGGCGAGAATAGTGAAGATAGGTTGATTATTTATTCATGGATAAACTTGTAGTTGAGATAGTGCATAACTGTCAGTTTTTTATCGGTTTCCAAAAGCTATTGGAGAGATTAAACTGTACTTAGCACCTGTGTGTATGTGTGTGTTATATGTAAAGAAGACACGCACATACACAGCCACAGACTCAAAAGTATTGTAGCCATGAATTACACATTAACCCATTGGGCATCTTCTGAGTGTCAGCTTCCAGCGTCAGTCAAAGCTACCGATCTGTGAAATGAGTCAGCAATGTGTGACGTCAGTAATTTCACGGTTGGTGGCACCGTGGGGGTGAGACACACTGGTGTGAGCGAGTCACGCTATCATTGTGACCCAACCATCCCATTACCCACTGAGCGAGGTGTTATCTCTGTGAGTCTCATAATTTGATAAAAAAAACCTAAAGCTGAGAATGACACAAGCCTTTTGACTCCTTCACGTGCACAGTATAACTTAAAAAAAATCATCGATCGGATATGAAACATGGTTCATCTATTTATTTTATGTAACTATCACATACAGGTTACAAGATGTTTAGGCTAAGTTAGGTTAGGTAGGGTTAGAACAGGTCGGGTTGGGTCGTGTTGAGTCGGGATGGGTTAGGTTTGGTTTGATCGGGTTATATTAGGTCAATGTTAGGTTGGGTAAGATTAGACTAGAGATACCTGTGTAGACGGCACACTATAGTAACACCATAGAAAGTTCTTGAATGGTTTTATTGCTTACTATCATCCAAAGATCTTCTATGGAAAAAAAAAACATGCACATAACCGAACAACTCCTGGTGTTACCCGCCTGCTGCAGTATTACCGGAAATTTAAACGACAATGCGCAGGTTTGAAAGGGAGGTAAGGTTAGGTCAGGTTCTAATAGGTTCTGTGCATTCTCACTTCCATTTTCGTGTTCGGTATCATATAAATATTATCTCCAGAAATTTTGGTTCAATTCCATAAATTATTTCTGGTATAAACCTTCACTCAGCTCCCGTTATATTAAACAAAGAACTCACTATGATATGTTGAAATTTGAGGCATTTTCTGAACGTGATATGATACGGCTGCATGGGTGCTATTAATTTTTGTCAATTCACCAAATCCACTAGCGTAGCTAGGGGGGGGGACCCGCCCCGGGCGGCACTTTTGGGGGGCGGCGGCGGTCCGCCCCGCGACACTGGGGGTCTGGTTCCGGGCGGCACTTTGGGGGCGGTCTTGCCACCCCGGGCGGCACTTTTGGGGGGCGGCACTTTTGGGTCTGCTCATCACCCATATCTGCAGCTACTGGAGACGTTAATCCATCCCTTTGTATCGGCGGCAAGTTAATCCTTGTCGTGTCTGACCTAACACCTGACCCACATCATCACGGCCACGTCATGAGCTACACCCTTGCTATGAGGCCCCCCGCCACACACACAACCTGTAACCTGTTGAGGATTAAGGAAACAACTTCAAACAAGTACGCCAGTGAGCTCATGTGGTGTGGGTCAGGTGTTAGGTCAGACACGACGAGGATTAACTTGCCGCCGATACAAAGGGAAGGATTAACGTCTCCAGTAGCTGCAAAACCATGCAGTCTCGGGTCATAACAGTTCATGTACAGCCGACCAATCCACCAGTTACAAGCAATTCACTTCAGTTCTGCACAAGTCTCCATCGTTACAAGACGAGGGGAGGCTAGACGACTTTTAAGTTCTCTTGTGTTTTCGATCCAGTTATTTACTTCGTTGGAAGACATAATACTATAAGGTAAGAAATATTAAAGTATTGGTTAAAAAATATTGATGTGACTTGCTGCGGTACTGAGATTAAATATTAAGATTTTGTTTCACAGCATTGCGATTTTATACTAAGACACTATCCTCACTGGGGTACAGACAAAAGCCCCCCTGACAAAAGCCACCCAGACAAAAGCCCCCCAGACGAAAGCCACCCAGACAAAAGCCACCCAGACAAAAGCCCCCCAGACGAAAGCCACCCAGACTAAAGCCCCCCGACAAAAGCCACACTGACAAAAGCCACTGACAAAAAGCCACCCAGACAAAAGCCACTGACAAAAGCCACACTGACAAAAGCCCCCCGACAAAAAGCCACCCAGACAAAAAGCTACCCAGACAAAAGCCACCCAGACAAAAGCCACACTGACAAAAGCCCCCCCGACAAAAGCCACACTGACAAAAGCCACACTGACAAAAGCCACCCAGACAAAAGCCACACTGACAAAAGCCACACTGACAAAAGCCACCCAGACAAAAGCCACCCTGACAAAAGCCCCCCCGACAAAAGCCACACTGACAAAAGCCACCCAGACAAAAGCCCCCTACTTTGATCGGGGTGGCTTTTGTCTGACAACAGTAAGGGCTTTCAAAAGTTACGGACATAATTAAATAGTTGAGGGTAAAATATACTGTTCTTCTCTGTGGTTAATTATTGGTTGGGTTAGGTTAGGTGAGTCACTGTGCAATTTGTATTTTTTTGTATGGTCATGGAGGGGCAGAATCATATAGCTCTGGCGGCACACACTCTAGCTACGCCGACGGCAACGAATTATTTCCTACTACAAACACCAATATAAACTACACTAATACCAAGGCAGCATAATATATAAAATGACGTTGTTTATCTTTGCAATTACCCTTTCATAAAACATCTTCACCTAAATTTCCATTTCATGACGGAATAAAACTCAGTAACCAACTCTCTAACATCACATGTAACTTAATTATGAAAATAAAAATACCAACAATTTACTCACCACAAAGGACAG